AGATATTAAGAAATGTCAATGACCCACTCACTAACTATAGTCAGTGGGTACTTTATGCTGTCAAAGTTTTTCTTGTCTTCTCTTCTGGAAGGGAAGTTATGACCTTTCCTACACCCTGGTCCTCTCAAACACCCAGGGCGAAGGGGTAGGAAACCAGATTTCATAGGGAAGGCTAGAGGGCCCGTCTTCAGGGCTGAACCCCAGATCCAGAGTTGTGTGAGCTGAGCCGCAAAGCCCCTACCCAGCACAGGTAAGGAGGAGCTGGTCCTGGTAAACTCAGGGGCTCTCCCTTTTGCAGTTTGGCTGTGCGCGTGGGCCGTGCTAGAACTCAGCCCAGTTTCTAGAAAGGAGGCACCAGCCTGCAGCAGACCACGCAGCAGGAGGAATAAAGGTTAGGTGCTGAAAAGGCCCCACTGTGCTTCCATCTGCAGAGCGAAAGCCCTGTTAATGTCAGTTTTTCAAACCCGGCATGAAGTCATGAAGTGCATCTGAGATGGTGATGAGAAAATCATGTTGATGCAGTTAAACCTCACTTGAGGCCTGCACCCGGATTACATAGGAAAACAGGTGCGACAACTGGTTCTGTGCATGAAGCAGACAGTGCACTGCCAGACACCTCACAAAACCAGGGAGCATGACACTGGCAATCATTTCTTTTTAGCAAGGACTGAAAAAATTTTAAAAATTCATCCAATTTCAGGGAAGTACTTTGATCATTAATGGAATTCACATCTTGAGTGTTTTTATTAAAACAGGGGGAAAAAATCCATTCGAAGTTGTAGATATTGAACTCATCCCACAGGGCCTGAAGTAGTCTACTAAAATGGGTTGCCATCTAAAGCATCAAATTCCCTAAGTCAGCGAAGGATCTGAACAGCCTCTTTGCCTACTCAGAGTCCTGGCAGGAGGTGGCCTCCAGACAGAGGAGTTTGTCAGGTTCTGCTGCTTTACAACAGTACATGGCATCAACATGAGACTCTGGCCATGTGCTGAGGGGATGCAACCATGTAAAGAGGTTCACGCTGATTCAGAAACAACAGTACAAAACCAGTCTTAACAGGAAAAGAAATCTTGGGGCGGGGGGGGGGGGTGTTAAGCCTCCTATAATGAAACCTGAGGAGGCAACAGCTGCACAACGCATCAGCACTCCAGGGACCGTGGATGTCTCTGCAGCCAACAGTTCATGTTCTAAGGCTAGAGCATCTTCAGGGTTCAGGTAGTGATGGGGGTCTGTCCTTTCCTTTCAGACGTGCATCAGCAGAGTTTGGCCTCCAGGCCCGCCTCCTCCAGGTCCTACACCACGGGCTCGGTGTCCAGCCCAAGTGCCTGTCAGCCACCCTCATTGCCTGGAAGCTGCTTCACACTCAGGACCTGGCTGGTCTGCACAAGGACCTGGGCACCACTCTACTCAGGTGAACATTTCTCCCTGAATGTGAGGGGGCCATGGAGCTTGTTGCCTAGTCTCTCGTGTGCTACCAGGACATTCAAGTGCAGGTTTGCACGCTCTCCCCAAGTTTCCTTTGTCCACACCTTGCCACGGATGCACACAGTGGGTACCTGAGGGCTGGGTTTAGGCTCTCTCCCCTATGACCAGGCCCATGTGAGTCACAGGTATCTGGTAGCCCAGAGCCAGCCCGAAGGACTGCAGTTCACCCCCTAGTGAGAGGTCTGACCCCACACCTCACGTCTATTTAGCTGCTTTCCCTTCCATTCACCAACCCATTCTCCTTTGCAGAGTGTGGTACCCAGGCTTCAGATCTGCAGCTAGCACCTCATGAACAGGTGCAGGTGCTGGGCGGGACAGGGAAGCAGCTCTCCTCACAGTATCCATCACCCCACATCAGCACAGGGGCACTGTGGCATGCTTATTTCTGCCCCACAGCGGGCCCTGGTTCAGTTTCCTCTTCTGCAGGGACGTCCCTTTCTCCATCATCTACTTCCCATTGTTTGCCAACCTCAACAGCCTTAGATTCAGTGAGCTCGCCGGGAAGGTGTCCTTTGCCCACTCCTTCATGTCAGGCTGTGTGGCAGGTTCCATAGTGGCCGTGGCAGTCACCCCTCTGGATGGTGAGTATGTGGCAGAGGCAGGGATTAGGCATCTGGGGTCCAAGGGCCAGCTGGATTTACATGTTGGCATTTATATATTATGGACTTATCTATGGGATCAATAGCACTTTTGCACTTTTAGGAAATAGTCCCAACCCTGTAAATCCTCTTGGGTTGCAACCTGGGGCTATTAGCAGAAATGCATCCAAGGTCCTCAGAAAGTGGGGCTCAGAGACCTTATCACTTATTTATCACTGACAACTCCCCTCATTTTCCAGGTGGAGCTGGGAGCCCCAGCAGTGAGTGAGAGGGGACAATGTTCCCCCTGCCACACAAGTGCTTTCTACAGAGACTAACCTGAGGGTAGGGTGGTTTCCGATTCACTCTTTCCACACGAGGCCCGAAGAGGGCAATCTTGGTTACAGCCCGCACAATGGCAGGCCTAGCCTCGTGACTGCGTTTGCTGCATCTGGAAAGGACTGCAACCACTTCATGGTGAGGCGAAGACACCAAGAACAAGATGTTCACTTATTTTAACTCTCACTTGTCTTAGTTCTGCAAATTCAAACCCCAAGAAAGGCCAGGGTGAGGAAGTCTACAGCGGGCTCATCAACTGCACCAGGTGGAAGCTCAGCACCCTTGTGCCGCGGGAGAGCTAGTCCCTGGGCACTCACGCATCAAAGCCAAGCATTACTGGCAAGTTCGTCTCCTCAGGACCTCTTCCATTCCCTCCCCTCTCACTGCAAGCAGCATGTGCTGGGCGCATTTCCCCATCCCTCACATTCTACACCAGCATCTCTTCTTCAGTCTGTTGCCAGAGGGAGGCCCTCATCCCTGGCCTTGCCCCAGCTGCAATGGGCTGGGTGCAGCTTTCACATGCTTGGGGCCTTGCTATTGCTCTGGGAAGTGACTTTCAAAGGCTTTCAAATGCTGAGCGGAGGACATCAGGCCCATCTTTACCCCCAGGAAGTTCTGGATTCAGAAGGGGCCATCTGCCTTCCTGAAAGGAATAGGCTGCTGGATGCCTGTCATTGCACTGTTCTTCTGGATTGCCCAAGGTGTCTACCTCATGGGAATTGGAGAGCGCATCTTGAAGTGCTTTGAGTAAACACAGATGAGCTCAGGCCATCCCCTTGTGGCATCTCTCTAGCCTGTTTCACTTAGACTAGAGGGTGTGGGCTTGCAGCAAAGTGGTCCATCCACATTATACTTTACCCACTAACTTGTAGCACTACCTCCCCATCTCGGAAGACAACTAGTGAGCAAGCTGAGACGCCCTGCACAATGCCTGCAACACAGGGACACTCTGAAATCACTACCCTCCAATTTTCAACAATAGAAATGGTACTTGCTCCAGCTATATTAACTACAGGACCTTAATCAACACTAAGGCTATATGCTTTAACCTTTCTATGTCAGACTTAAACTCAGCATACTTGGCCGGTGCCGCGGCTCACTAGGCTAATCCTCCACCTTGCAGCGCCGGCACACCGGGTTCTAGTCCCGGTCGGGGTGCCGGATTCTGTCCCGGTTGCCCCTCTTCCAGGCCAGCTCTCTGCTGTGGCCAGGGAGTGCAGTGGAGGATGGCCCAAGTGCTTGGGCCCTGCACCCCATGGGAGACCAGGAGAAGTACCTGGCTCCTGCCATCGGATCAGCGCGGTGCGCCGGCCGCAGCGCACTGGCCGCGGCGGCCATTGGAGGGTGAACCAATGGCAAAGGAAGACCTTTCTGTCTCTCTCACTGTCCACTCTGTCAAAAAAAATAAAAAAAAAAAAAATAATAAAATAAAAAAAAAAAAACAAACAAAAAAAAACAACTCAGCATACTTGAGTAAGTTTGAAGATTTAGTTTTTTTCATCTTGAACCACGAAACTGACGGTCCTAGCACTGGCTCTAGAAAAAGAAGTTCAAGGGGACCAGGAAAACCTCCAGAGTCAGCAGGGACCTTTCAGGTCAGGACAGCTGGGGTTGACTCTAACTGAAGAGCCAGGGAAAGGCTGGGCAGCTGCCTCCTGCAGCGCAGGCTCTCGCACGCCCGCCATGGCTCCGTCCCAAGGGCCACCAAAGCGAAGCAGCACGGTCAACAATCTTATAACCCTGGGCCTGGCAGATGGGCTGCCATACACAGGAGCTGCCACCCACCATTCCACATCCCGTCAGAACCAAGACTGCATTAGGAAGAAGCCACAGCAGGTCACTGTCACCCACACTTCAAACCTGCTAAGGAGGCCGGAGGGAAGAGTGTAGAGCTTGACTTGGGTGTTGGGTTTTGCATCTGTCACTCTGTACATCACCTTGAGGAACAAGTGCTCCTCCTGTGCTTCATTCCTTCCCTGATATCACTGCCACAGAGGAGAACAATGACATCACACAAATGGGATCAAGCCCTAAGGAACATCTACCTTTCCCAGAAGCTGGCACTGTCTTTAGTCACCACCTAATTTAAACCTAATTTAAACAAGAAAGAGGATGGTGCTAGAGTGGTCTGCCTCAGTGGCTATACCCTCAGGCTCTTGGGATGGACTCATACTCCAGCCCTGCCCTTTGCTACCTGGCAAGACCTTGAGAGCTCTTAACTTTGAGTTGGGAAAAACTAGTTCCTAGGGAGTGAGAGGGAGAGAAAGGCCCCTGGGAGAGGATTTCAAGCACAAAGTACCTCTCCCACCGAAAAAAAACCACTTGTAGTTGTACAACTCTTCCAGAGTGTGTTACCGTGCCTATGCAGGGGGACGTGTGGTGACTTAAGGGACTGAAAAGGCCACTTTTGGGTGACTGGTAAAACGAGGAGAAAGCCCCAGAGGACTCAGACGGGGACAATAGTTTCCAGTACTGACAACTGCAAGCTGCCAAAAGCTTCAGGGATTTGGAAGACTCATTTTCTAGGTATCTCAAGAAGAACTTGACTCTCTCAAACCACATATTTTTAGTGTCTTACAAAAGATATTACAATGAAATCCACATAAACTTTTTATTTTAATAAATACAGCGTACCCATGGCTTAGATTTTAAATCACAGTAGCAGAGTTGAGGGTTGAACAGGTAACAGTGAGTGAAGCCACTATTTCTAGAAGGATGCATGCCTACATGTGCTTTAGACACAAAGAGCAGGGCCATCACAGCAGAGCACACCACACACACCACCTGTGAGTACAGAGACGGAAGAACAGGAGACCCATGCAGTCCACAGCCACCATCTGAGCCCTCCCTCTGTGCTACAAAAGCAACAGAAGCTGCAGCCTCCACGTGAACCAGAGGTAGGTTCCTGATCACATCAAGCAAGTCTTTCCCATTAACAATTAGGCCAAGGGCACCCGCGATGGAATGGTATCCACTGATAAATACAGAACATTATTAAAACAGCAAGGAGGGAGCTACATTGATATTGTTTCTTCAAACACCACAAACTCTGTATCATAGCACAAACTGTATCATAGCAGTGGAGCAGCAGATGAACTCCACCTCTCAAAGGCTTAGTCCAAAAACTTCCTATTGGCATTCGCACCAAACAAAGCTCCCCTTACTTCTGGCATCATCTGTGAAGAAACAATGTAATAAGTAAGTATTCATGACTGAGAACTCACCCAGAGCTGTGTGTCTGACCCTCAGGCAGGAAGCCACCAACTTCTGTGTGGCCAAGGAGGAGGGCACAAAGCTAAGTGCACCCAATCCATGCTGTACGATCTGCACTCCAACAATCCTTGGTGAGAAACTTAACTGCAGATCTGGGGCTAAGAGTTACTGCTTACAAAACGGACAAAAGAAAAAGAAAATCTCAGGCTACTCCTGTCTAGGCTCCACCTGTGCTTGGGACATAGGGAGAAGAGGCAGTGTGACTGGATCATACTATTCTACATCAGATAGATCCTTCTTTCAATAAACTTTTACTGAGCACCTACCATGTATTAGGAATGACCACACAGAAAACTTACAATGCAAGTTTGGGTGAAGCACTTGTTATTGCAACTGATAAATTCTTAGGCAAACTTCTAAAGCTGTGCTGTACAATGTGATAGCCACCAACCACCTATGGTTATTATGCACTTAAAATGTGGCTAGTGAGAGGGAGACACTGAGTTTTAAACTTTACTTAAGGATGCCCATGTGGCTAGTAGCTGCTGAACTGGAAAACATTAATCTAAAGTTTAAGTTACCAAGATGATGCTCAAAGTCAAGTGCTTTAGTTATTAAGACAAGTGTCAAGAAGTAACTAAGTTAGCAGCCACAGATCACACTGAAGAGGCCACTCAGCATTTCAGAGCAAGTGAGATTTTTCCCAGCCTGCTTCCAAGAGCACATTTATACAAATCTGGAAACATCTGAAAAGCCAGTGACCTTATGGTAATTGTTCTAAAAAAGTATTTACATTAGTTTCTATCTTTCCAGCTAGAGAGAGAACTGCAGTCAGCAGCTCTACATGCAAGAAAACATACAGGTTAGCACAAAGCCCAAGGCCTCCCACACGTAAGTGGCTATCAGTACAATGTAACACCCCAACATGCTTAATTTCATTCCACTTAGGAAAATGTCAAAAAGTGTGAGTGACAAATCCCAAAACAGTGACTAGATCTGTGTTCTGTGTACAACTTCAGAGACAAGTAGCAGCCCGACTCACCTGCTGGGCTATGAGGTCCAACCGGCTTTCTAGGGTGTTGGAAACTTTTATTTTACGGTCTCCATTATAAATCTCAACTCCACCAGCTCTACAAAGAACACCAGAAATAGCAATTTTTAGATTTAAGGAAGACAAGGACACACAAATGACCTTATTCCTTTGAAGGACACTATTTTGGCATGTGGTATGTGAAACAAAATGGCTTAAAATTTAATTCCAAAAGTTTGTGAAGATTTCAGGTATTCAGGTTGATAATACCAAGTAACTACTGTGTGCAGTTTGTTTTTTAAAAGCATTATTTTATTTGGGGACTGGTGCTGTGGCGTAGCGGGTAAAGTCACCGCTTGCAGTGCCAGCATCCCATATGGACACCAGTTCAAGTCCTGGCTGCTCCACTTCCGATCCAGCTATCTGCTATGGCCTGGGAAAGTACCACTCTGGAAAGGTTTGTGAATTTTTTGGGGGAAAGAACGTTTATTTTATTCTCTACCTCTTTCCTATTTCTTTATTTCATCTATTTTTAGGTTTCTCTAAACGATCTATGCTCTTCATTAAGGCATTTGTTAAAACCTGACCTACTTTCTGTGATACAACTTTGTCCATATTTTGGGAAAAAGGGAAGGGAGACCACCATTATGTTAGACTGCCTGCTGTGCACCAAGCACTCCCTGAACATGAAGCCCAAGGCTTCTCATGCCTTTTCATTTATCTCCCCAATAACTTCTCACCATTTTATGAAAACAGAAAGGGGACTGCACAGAAGCAGAAACTGGGTCTGGTGGTTAGGACACCGCGTGGGATGTCTGCATCTCATAACAAAGTGCCTGAGTTCAAGTCCCAGCTCCACTCCCAATTCCAGCTTCCTAATAATGTGCACATTATTGGAAGACAGCAGGTAAAGCTGTGCACATTATATGGAAGACAGCAAGTAATGATTCAAATACTTGGGTTCCCAGACCTGACACCCATCTGGAGACCTGGATTGAGTTCTTGCTTGGCTTAGCTCAGCCCTGGCTTTTTTTTTTTTTTTTTTTTTTTTCTTCTTAAGATTTTATTTATTTATTTGAAAGTCAGAGTTACACAGAGAGAGGAGAGGGAGAGAGAGAGAGGTCTTCCATCCGATCGTTCAACCCCAGATGGCTGCAACAGCCGGAGCTGTGCTGATCCGAAGCCAGGAGCTTCCCTCTGGTCTCCCAAGTGGGTGCAAGGGCCCAAGGATTTGGGCCATCTTCTACTGCTTTCCCAGGCCATAGCAGAGAGCTGGATTGGAAGTGGAGCAGTTGGGTCTCGAACTGGCGCCCACATGGGATGCTGGCGCCTCAGTCCAGGGCGTTAACCCGCTGCACCACAGCACTGGTCCCCAGCCCTGGTTTTTGCAGGCATCTGGGGAGTGAACCAGTAGACTGAAGATCTCCATTTCTGTCCCTCTGGCTTTCAAATAAATTAAGGGGAAAAAAAAAAAAAAAAAAAAAGACAAGAAAATGATAGGATAACTGTCCTGACAACATTACTTTAAATGTCTACCAGGAGAAGACCTCAATCCTTATCTGCAATTGTGAAATTCAAAAAGCTCTGACCGCAGAACAAAATCTAATTCACATAGCTCCAAAAAATGAACTGGCTGGGGCCGGCACCATGGCTCACTTGGTTAATCCTCCGCCTGCAGCGCAAGCATCCCATATGGGTGCCAGGTTCTAGTCCCGGTTGCTCCTCTTCCAGTCCAGCTCTCTGCTGTGGCCCGGGAGGGCAGTGGGGGATAGCCCAGGTGCTTGGGCTCCTGCACCCACATGGGAGACCAGGAAGAAACACCTGGCTTCTGGCTTCGGATCAGCACAGTGCCAGCCATGGAGGCCATTTGGGGAGTGAACCAACAGAAGGAAGACCTTTCTCTCTCTTTCTCTCTCTCTCTCTCTCACCAACGGAAGGAAGACCTTTCTCTCTTTCTATAACTCTACCTGTCAAATAAATAAATAAAAATCTTAAAAAAAAATTCTTATAGAGCTGAAATGTGATCATGCCCTATTATCACTTAGCACAACGCCTGGGGCATGCTTAGGCTCCCACATAGAGTTTATATGCAAAGGGCAGCTGTGGTGATGACGTACGCCACCATGCCATCCCCAGCTCTAAAAGAATTCTGAAGTAAGTGCTACATTGACAATTCAGAGATGTGGAAGTCAAGGATCAAAGAAAATAAACAATTTGGACATGATCACTAGGCTAGCAAGTGGCAGAATGGAGACTCAAACCCATATCTGACAACAGCATTTACTAGGTCACATGCCCTCTCAGTTTATAAAGTGCTTTCACATCTCTTTATAAAACAAAACTCATCACATTTTCCTGGTGCAGTCCAGGTTCCACAGCTGATAAAAGGCCAAGTCAAGACTCAGATCGTAAAGCCCTGAGACTGCCGCTTTGTCCACTCACATCTGTAAGGGGACCTCATCACACCAGACATGGGGAGGCAGTCTGGCATGAGACAGTAAGTGGAAGCAAAAATTCCACTCTATTTCAGGGGTTCCTAGTGCTCACCTCAGCTGTATACAGTTTATTAGGGATGCTGGTGCCAGAAATGTGCTGCCATTTCCTCAGTCAACTACTGGTATTTGCAACTCTCTCCCCAAGGAACCTAATTATTTTCTATACATAATAGTGGTCCTTGTTCTGGGTTTCCTCACTGTCTGATATGGAAATCTGTGCCCCGCTTAGGATTCTGGGTGCAGTAGAACCACCTCTGCAGGATGAGCACAGTGACCACCAGCTGGACCTCAGACACTTGTCACCAGTAACCATGAAGACTGGCACAGTTGGGAGACAACACAACCACACCTCTACTCTGTATGTTGGAGGAAATACATGTTAAAAAGAGTCCAGGATTGGGCCAGCACTGTGGTGCAGTGGATTAAGAGCTACATGTGAGCCGCGGCTAGGCTAATCCTCCACTTTGCGGCACCAGCACACCGGGTTCTAGTCCCAGTCGGGGCGCTGGATTCTGTCCCGGTTGCCCCTCTTCCAGGCCAGCTCTCTGCTGTGGCCAGGGAGTGCAGTGGAGGATGGCCCAAGTACTTGGGCCCTGCACCCCATGGGAGACCAGGAGAAGTACCTGGCTCCTGCCATCAGATCAGCACGGTGCGCCAGCCCCAGTGGCCATTGGAGGGTGAACCAACAGCAAAAGGAAGACCTTTCTCTCTGTCTCTCTCTCTCACTGTCCACTCTGCCTGTCAAAAAAAAAAAAAGAGCTACATGTGACACTGGCATCCCATGAGTACTGCTTCAAGTCCCATGGAAGATCTCCATCTCTCTCTAACTTTCAAATAAAGGCCAATCTGTCTGCACCCAAGAGCAGCAACACGCTGGCAGCAGGAACACTCCTTACATGTCCTCAGGCAGGTAGGCCTCCTGATCAATCTGGACATCAACATCTTTTTTGGTGGCAATTTTGTACATAGGGATTGCTTTTTGCACAGCAGCCTGGGAAGAGAGAAAACAATGAAAGGCTTTAATGGGAGCCATGCAGTAGATGGCACCTCCATCAATATGTTATGCATGCAAAGACATTCTTATGTATTTCAAGTAAGAGTATAGATGCACGGCTGCTGGACGGTTAAAACTGTGCAGCCACTGAGAAAAAAGGAGCTAAAACAATAGCTTTTCCACAGCAGAGAAGACAGGGGAGAATTTCATGAAGAATCAACAGTTATCAGGTGTGAAACATGGCACAGCAGGATACAGATCATCACCCTAACCAGAAGCATTACCAGGAGAGGGAGGAGGAGGGGAGAGGAAAGAGAACTCAAGTGTCTATTAGTAGAGAAACGGATAAGCAAAATACAATGAAACGCTATTCAGTGTGGAAGAAAATTTTGCTAAATGCTACAATATGGATGAACCCTAAAGACATGCGGAATGAGATAAACCTGTCACAGAGGCCAGGTGCTATATAACATCACTTACATGGGGTACACGGGACAGAGCAGGGGAACGGGCAAAGTCTCAATTTTGGAAGGTGAATAAATTCTAGAGATGGCTGGTGGTGATGGTTGCCCACAGGGCAAAAGTACCTCATGCCACTAAAATACACTTTAAAAAGGTTTATCACAATTAGCTCACCAGGAAAAAAAATGAAAATTTATACTATATTGCAATTATGGCAAATCTAATTAGTAGGAAGTCCTTTTTCCCCTCCAAAGATTTAGAGAAGGAGAGAGAGAGGGTAAGCATCCATCCATTGGTTCATTCCTCAAACAGCCAGCATTGGATCTGGTCGAAGCCAGGAGCCTGGAACTCTACCCATGTCTTCCATATGGGTGGTAGGAACCCAAGCACTCATACCAGCTTTCACTGCCTCCCCAGAAGCATTAGCAGTGAGCTAGATCAGAGGTGGAACAGATAGGATTTTGACTCTAATACTGAATGCTGGCATTGTAGGTGGCAACTTCACCTGCTGTGCCACAACACTGGCTCCAGGAAGTGCTGTCTTCAAACAACATTGTACACACTCCAGTATCCATGGAAAAAAGTTTCTTAAAAGAGTTGAAGGAACTTCAATATTTACCTCTGAAAATATTACTAAAAAAATTAAGTTGATACCTACATTTAATAGTTCCCCGCCCTTCATAGCTAATACAGTGTACCACTGACACTGGACTGCAGAAGTTTCAAAAACAGCTTGTGTAACACCCAAATATACCCTGGTGTCCTCAAATGGGGCTGGCTGGCAGCTCAGACCTGCCTCTGTAGGATGCTATCACCCTGGCACCTTCTCATCAGTCCTGCTCTGTTTCATGGGTTCATACAAGAGGCAACGTCAGCACAAAGCAGGATCCAGCTTACTAAGACAGTTTACAAACTACAACCACAATGTGTTATAGTGGAGAATGAACAGCTGAGAGAAACATACTTATGTGTTCCAGTCAGCACATTATCCTTCCAAGGAGAAGAGTTACTCGAGACAGATTATACTAAGGATACAAATACAAATGTTTTAATTTATAAGAAATGTAATTGCCAGAGGAGTGAGTACTTACATCCTTGCCCAAAGTTATGGGGAAGAATTTTCATCTAAAGAGAAACCTTCATTTTGTTAATGTTTACTTATTTGAAAGGAACAAGGGGGGGAGGGAGAGGAAAAGAGGAGAAGGGAGGGAGAGAATGAGGGAGGAGAGATTGATTGATCGCCCACTGGCTGGTGCACTCCTCAAATGCCTACAATAGCTGGGGCTGGGTCAGGATATAGCCAGGAACCTGGAACTCCATCTGAGTCTCCCATGTCAGTAGCAGGATTTCATGTACTCACCCATGAAAAGTTCTTAATGATACAGACTTTGACTTGACCAACTTCTGGTATCCACATTCTTTCTCTAGTTATATGAGCATATTTAATTAGGTCAGAGCCCAGTCTTATTCATCTAGCAGTAGGCTGCCTCTTTTAAGAAAGCACTGCATACCTATATATTTGTTCTAGTGTCGGAGGCACTGCTTTTATCACTTGATTTTAAGATTCTGATTTTACTGGGGCTGGCACTGTGGCACAGTGGGTTAAGCTGAAGTTCCGGTTGCTCCAATTCAGATCCAGCTTCCTGCTAATGTGCCTAGGAAAGCAGAAAATGGCCCAAGTACTTGGGCATCTGTCACCCACTGTGGGAGACCTGGAAGGAGTTCTAGCCTACTGGCTTTGGCCTGGCCTAGCCCTGGCCATTGTAGACATTTGGGGAGTGAACCAGCGGAAGGAAGATTGATCTCTCTGTGTTTCTCCTCTGTTAACTCTACCTTTCAAATAAAATAACATACATCTAACAAAAAAAGAAGAAAAATGGTAGCATTAAACTTTTACAAAGAGAGAAGGACAGGGGCCCAAGGGCCAGTGTTGTGGCACAGCAAGTTAAGCCACCATTTCCAACAATGGCATCCCATATTGAAGTGCTGGTTCAAGTCCCAGCTGTTCCACTCTCCATTCCACCTTTCTGGGAAGCAACAGTTGATGGCCAAATAGTTGCTGCCACCTAAGTGGGAGACAGATTGACTTCCTGGCTCCTGGCCTTGGTTTGGCCCAGCTCTTGCTGTAGACATTCAGGGGGTAAAATAATGGATGGAAGATCTCTCTCTCTCTCACTCTGCCATTCAAATAGTTGAAAATAAACTCCAGACTGCTGGCCTTGGTCTAGCCCAGTCCTGGCCATTGTAGGCATGTAAGAAGTGAACAAACAGATGGGAGTTCCAATTCTTAATTAGTAAAGAAAAAAGATTTCTTTACCTTTACCAGAGGGAAATCTTGTTTCCTGCAACGAACAATCATTCTGGGCTCCAACAACTGGTATAAACCCTGAGATATAGGACAGTCAGATGCAATTAGTAGAAATTGCAAACTATATATAAAACAATAGCAAAATATTTTTAGTTCCCTGATCTAGGGAGGAAAAATGTCCCCTGGTAAGTAAGTTCCCACAAAAGACAGATTATACAGTATGAGAACATGGAAAGATCCTAGTATCACAAACCAGATAAATATACCCCATGATTTGATGGCAGATGAGGACAAGTATTACTGTACTTAACATAAAGAAAAACTCACAGCTCAGAAGTATAATTAAGCATATAGCAGTTAGTCTGAACCCCAGTATCTATGGCAAGTATTTCAGTAATAAAATCACATTAGGGAAGTTTAAAGCTGGAGGGTTCAAACTAATTTGACCATTGAGTTACAAAGGACCGTAGTAGGCCTGAAGTCTTATCCAACCAGATAGCTATTACTGGAGTACACATTTTAGATAAGATAAAGAATAAAACAAGAAAAACAGCTAAGATGAGAAGACAAGAAAAACAGAGTTGATCTCCAACAGACCCTGAAAACCACCTCACAACTATGGCTGTAAACAGTAAAACTGGGCTATGAGAGTACCTGGAGGACCAATCCATCGAGCAGCACTTGGTACCTGGTTGTGTCTTTCACCACCTTGCTGAGTCTCTGTTTTGCTTCATTTAGAAGGTCCTACAAAGAGTAGAAAAGAAAAAAGTTAGCTGCATCCCTGGGTAGTCAGCTTAGAACTCATTGTGAAGGTGGTGCTGGGTCGTGTTACATCTCCTGACTTTATCGCTGGGTATTCATTCAATAAACAGTCCCTGAGAAAGATGCTGAAGCCGATGCTATGCTAAGTATGTTAACAAAGGAAGGATGCAACAGTACCCCGTGGGTTGGTGTTGTGCATATGGTCTGATGCTGCATACTGGAGTGCCAATTCTGCCAGCTCCCCATTTCCAATTCAGCTTCCTGCTGGTCCTCTGGGGCCAGCACTGTAGTGTAGCAGGTTAAGCCTCCACCTACAGTGTCATCCATATGGGCGCCGATTCGAGACCTGCCTGATCTGCTTTCAATCCAGCTCCCTGCTAATGCACTGGAAAGCAACAGAAGATGGCCTAAGTACTTGGGCCCCTGCACCCACATGGGAGACCCAGAAGAAGCTCCTGGCTTTGGCCTGACACAGCCCCAGCCATTGTGGCCATCTGGGGAGTGAACTCTCTCTGCCTCTGGCTCTCCTTCTCAGTAATTCTTTCAAATAAACAAATCTAAAAAAATAAAAATAAAAAAACACAATCACACAAGTGCACACTCCTGCTACTGACACAAGAGACTTGGATAGAGTTCCTGGCTCTTGGCTTTAGCCAGGCCCAGCCCTGGCTGTTGCAGGCATATGGGGAATAAACCAGTGGATGGAAGATTTTTCTGTCACTCTGCCTTTCAAATAGAGTTCCCCCTGAAATTCAGCCTCTAGAACTGCTGAGGGACTGTGGCCTGCTCCACATGGTGGGGCCAATGTGAGGGTACTCACATGCAAGGCAAGACTCCTGTCCCTACATAAAGAGGCCACAGGAGCACAGGGCACACAGGAGGCTGTTCCATGAACACACTTGCTGGGCTTTACATCAAACCAGTGCACTAACTTTTAAAAAAAGCTTACTATCTTGACATAAGATATCTCACTATTATCAGACTAGAGAGCAGCAGTTGGTTAAAAAGCATGACTGTGGTGATGGCACATAAAAAATTGTTCAATAGCAAACATGAAGAGAATTTAACCACTGTGAAGTAATACAAGTACAGAGCACAGAAGTACAACCAATGACCAAGGGACACAGTTGCAATTCAAGTCCAGAACTGCCAGACTCCAAAACTCTGTGCTGCCTCAGTCTGGTTCAGGTCTGCAGAACTGAATTAACTGAATAATCTGCCTAGCAGAAGTACAAGGTCCACTGTTCCTCATTTTCTTGTTCCTCATTTTTTCTCTACCCCAGGTTATAGACATCCCTCACTTCCAGGGGAATTGTTTGAATCTGCCAGACATCTAATTACAAGAAAACATTTATTTTCTTCTTTCTCTTTTTGTTAAAATCTGCTCTCAGAAGACATATTTATTTGAATTTATTTATTTGAAAACACATACAGAGAGATCTCACATCCACTGGTTTACTCCCCAAATTCCCACAACAGCTGGGGGTTGAACCAAGCCAAAGCTGAGATCTCAAACTCAACCCAGATCTCTCAAATCAGTGACAGGGACCCTGCTACTTAAGCCATCACTTGTTGCCTCCTAGGGTGTACATTAGCCATAGGCTGGAATCAACACAGCCAGGACTCTGATATGAGATATAGTTCTCAAGTGGTGTCTTAACCCTTCAGTCAAATTCGTGCTCTGCAAACATTTCTTTTTATACTAAGTACAAATATGTCAAAGTTTTAAAAAATCAGGAGTATTCCTTTAAGAACTCAGTTAAATCTTTTAATAGTCAAATCTGACATTAAACAACAATCCAAATACATATAAAGATTGTTTCTGATGTATAACAAGAGAAAGTTTTAAGCAATATGAGTGTATACTGTTGTAAAGATTATTAATATGTAGTTGTACAGCTTCCAGGAGTTTCACAAAGGTGTTTGAGGATCCATGTCATTCAAGATTGTGATGGAAACTACTCTATTATTGTAATTGGTTCCCTGCCACCCATGTGGGAGACTGAGTCCTGAACTCCATGCTTTGGTCTGATCCAGCCCTGCCTGCTGTTGCAGGCATTTGGGGAGTAAACCAGTGGATGGACGATCTCTGTCTCTCTTTCAAACAAAATGAAAATGAATTTGGAAAATTATTTCTAAACTTACCCAAAAAATCTGTTTCAAAATAACAAAATAATTTTTTTTAAAAATTCTAACAGGGCTGGCACTGTGGCACAGCAGGTTAAAGGCCCAGCCTGCAGTACTGGCATCCCATATGGGCCCCGGTTCAAGTGCCGGCTGCTCCTCTTCCAATCCAGCTCTCTGCTATCGCCTGGGAAAGCAGAAGATGGCCTGAGTGCTTGGGCCCCTGCACCCGCGTGGGAGGCCTTGATAAAGCTTCTGGCTCCTGGCTTCTAATCAGCTCTGCTCTGGCTGTAGCAGTCATTTGTGAATTGAACCAGCACAATGGAAGACCTCTCTCTCTGGTTCTACCTCTAACTCTTTCAAATAAATAATTCTTTAAAAGAAAATTCCAACTCATACTATTTCCAGAAAAATACTTGTATAAATACCCTTATTTTGTCACTAGAATCCTCTCGTTTAATTATAAAAATAAACCAAATGATTTTTTTAGGCCCAAAATCCAAGGATTCCAAATATGAAGTGATAACTGTAGTTTCCTTCTACTTTACAAACTTTAAATAGTTAAATGCTTTTTAATTTATTCTTTCAGTTAATACACACACACACACATATTGTGGGGAGCAACTCGGACTAGACTTTTACTCGAATTAAGACTTATTCTATGCATCTGCTCTCCCACAATATGGCGCTGGGAGAGGAGCAAACAGCTTCTACACAGCTGCCTCCAGTTCAACCAATAAACTGTAGGACCTGCTCCTGATTGGAGGAGAGCAGCGTACTCAGTGTGTGGGTAGCAGAGTTGGGATTGGTGGAAGAGGACTATAAAGGAGGAGAGAGACAACATGCACCAGGAACATCTATCTGAAGGAACACCTGTGCAGCCCCCAAGAGAGCTGGCCGGCGGTGTGCTGCTCCCCCGCGGAAGTGGGGAAAGTGGCTAGGGGGAACCGCCCTTCCACGGAGGTGGAAGGGACGGTAGCCAACCCGGGAAGGACCAGCAGCAAACCCGGGAAGGGCCGAGCAGACAAAAGAACAGCGCAGGGTTCTGTGTCGTTCCTCCACGAAGAGGGGGAGTGACATAATGGTGCCGTGACTCGGATATGAAGCCTAGGCAGGGTTTAGTGTCGTTCCTCCATGAAGAGGGGGAGCGACATAATGGTGCCATGACTCGGATAGGAAACCCAGGCAGGGTTTAGTGTCGTTCCTCCACGAAGAGGGGGAGCGACAACATATATACTATCTTCCAACATGATTTAATGCTATTCACAGTCAATAAATCACTTTCATTAATAGTCAAACAATTAAATAGATTATACCATTTCTTAAGTGGATAACAAGCAGGAATACAGTGTTAGAACAGTTTTAAGCAAACCTTAAGTGATTATAATTTCCAGAGCAGTTCATAACATTCTAGTTTGTTAATAAATTAAAAGAAATACTTTTATTGCTGCCCTGTTACAACCCAAAGTTGAGTCCTTTTAAAAAAAAAAAATTTATTTGAAAGGGAGAATGACAAAGAAAGAGCAAGAGATCCTCCTGCTGGTTCACTCCCCAACGGCTACAACAGCTAGTCTGGGTCAGGCCAAAGCCAGTGTATTCATTCAGAGAAGAGATTTGGGGTTAGAAATAATCCAGCTGGAAAGCCCATGAGAGTATTTCAGGCATGGAAAGCCAAGACACTCTGGGGAAAAAAAAAAAAAAAAAGAGGACCTAAATGAAAGATCTCTGTGAGTGAGATCCCAGTAGAAAGAATGGGCCATCAAAGAAGGAGGTACCTTTCTCTGAAGGGAGGTGAGAACTTCCACTTTGACTATGACCTTGTCTAAATATGATCGGAATCGGCGAACTCATGACAAGTTGCCTTGGCAACTCATGACAAGAGCCTAGGGTGATTACTGATGCCATAAACAAGAGTGTCAATTTGTTAAGTCAACAACAGGAGTCACTGTGCACTTACTCCTCATGTAGGATCTCTGTCCTAAATGTGCTGTACATTGTGATTTAATGCTATAACTAGTACTCAAACAGTATTTACACTTTGTGTTTCTGTGTGGGTGCAAACTGTTGAAAGCTTTACTTAATATATGCTAAATTGATCTTCTGTATATAAAGATAATTGAAAATGAATCTTGATGTGAATGGAAGGGGAGAGGGAGAGAGGAGGGTTGTGGGTGGGAGGGAAGTTATGGGGGGGGGGGGGAGCCATTGTAATCCATAAGCTGTACTTTGGAAATTTATATTCGTTGAATAAAAGTTTAAAAAAATCAAAAAAAAAATAAATAATAATGCAAATGACTAGAGCAGACTGAAAAATAAACTCAAAGTTGATTGACTCATAGGTCCAAGGTCTTCTACCAAACTTCCTTAAGCACATACTACTACTCTAAAAGCAGCTAATGAATGAGTCAAATCAACACAGGTGTTAAAGGAATTTTAGTCCCCTGGGAGGAAATCCACTACTGATTATATAAACTCAAAACTGTTAGTGAAGACACTAGGTAACAATCATCTTGAATTAGTAACATTTTGCAGTCAAAATTTCCCCACATTTCTAAGTTCAAAAGTGGATAAGCCACTCAAATTTGGGACCACTTGCCATAATTTAAAGTATTACAGGATTTACATTACTAAATCATCTCTTTATACTCAACACCCTAACAGCTTCTATCTGGATATTTCTTGGCCCCTTAAAGTATGCCCTGGAGCAGTTGTTTCACCTAGTGATTTAAGATGCTTGCATCTCAACAAATCTGAGTTTGATTCCCAAATTCCAGCTCTTGACTCCAGCTTCCAACCAATGTAGACCCCGGGAGGCAGCAGTGACATCTAAAGTAACTGGGTCCTTGCTACCATCCTGAGAGACATGGATTGCATTTCCAGCTCCCAGTTTTAGCCCCAGCTCAGTCCCTGCTCTGTAAGCACTTGTGGAGTGAATTAGTAGATGGGAATATGAATGCTCTCTAAAAAGTCCATTGAAGAAAAAAAAAAGGCACATCTACACATGGACAGGCATCTGGCCTGAACAGTTAAGATGAAGATTGAAGATTAAGACAGCCACTTAAGACAGGCGCATCATAATACCTGGTTTCACTACCTGGCTCTGGCTCCTAACTCTAGCTTCCTGCTAATGCAGACCTTGAAAGGTAGTAGTGACAGCTCAAATAATTGGATTCCGGCCACCCACACAGGTCCACACCAGCCATCATTGAGGAGTGAATCAGAAGATGGAAGTTCCCACATGTTCTCTTTTTCTCAAAAACAAAACAAAGGCCGGCACCGCAGCTCACTTGGCTAATCCTCCACCTGCAGCACCGGCACCCCAGGTTCTAGTCCCGGTTGGGGCACCAGATTCTGTCCCGGTTGCTCCTCTTCCAGTCCAGTTCTCTGCTGTGGCCCAGGAGGGCAGTGGAGGATGCCCCAGGTGCTTGGGCCCTGCACCCGCATGGGAGACAGAGAGGAAGCACCTGGCTCCCGGCTTCGGATCGGTGCAGCGCACCGGCCGTTAGCGACCTTTTGTGGGGTGAACCAACGGAAAGGAAGACCTTTCTCTCTGTCTCTCTCTCACTAACTCTGCCTGTCAAAAAAAAAATAAAAGAAAAAAAGCTTTAAAAAAAAGTGAGCTTTTTAAAAAATTAATTTATTGGAGAGGCAGAGAGACTGGTTTTCACTCCCCTAAATTCCTACTTTGGCTCCTAGCTGAGACTGAAGCCAGGAACCAGAACTCAATCCAGGTCTCCCATGAGGGTGATAGAAACCCAACCACTTGAAACATTACCTGCTGCCTCCCACTGTATACATCAGCAGGAAGCTGGAATTAGGAGCCAAAGGCAAGTATCAAACTCAAGCACTCTGATATAGGATGCAGCTATCCAAACTGTTCAGCCAAACACTCACCACGAACTGGTTTATTTAACAAAACACTTGTCCTCCCGATTTTCATTTTTGTTACTGGAATGACCATTCTCCTAGTTTTCTAGGCCTGAAATTCAGAACTGAGTGTTGGACTTGGAAAAAGAGGAGTCAAGCAGTAGCCAATGTCTGAAAAGTCTTTTATACAAAGTGTCAGTATTGACAATGCTACTCAGTTCTCTCTGTCACCTTACAAAATTGGACCATATTTCCATAATGAAGAAAATGGTACGTCTTCCATTTATTCAGGCTTTTAGTTTCATAACTTTTTTCACATGGGTCATATTCACTAACAGTTTCTCCTTTCAGCTGAAGAGTTTCTGCATCTATTGTAAATACAAGATCTACTTTTCATTTTATTTGCTTACTGGTCAGTGCTGACATAGGGAAAATACTGATTCCTATATAGTCACTGTAGTCAGTCACCTTTTTGAACTAGTTACTAGTTCTGTGTGGACAACCATATCTGCAAAACTTCCAATATTTCTTCCTTTCCTATATTTATACAAGTGTCTTCAGGAAGTCCATGTAAAAGGTGTATTATAAAAATAACTGCATGGATTACAAAAGTTTTGTGCACCAAAGTAAATTTATTTTACACAAAATTTTAGAAGCATCTTCGTATACCTTTTATTTCTCCATTTCATCAGGAACCTAGGGACTCTACAGCCAACACTGAGTGACAGTGGAAACACCAGGTATTTGTTTGGTTCCCAAATATGAAAAATACCTATAGCCTTTCTCAAAGGTTTCTGTACTCTTCGTTGGATGACTACAGTAATTCCCAAAGGTTTGGTCTAACCTCTCCCCTGTTAAATTTAGCTGACACATTCATTCCTTGAGCCCAACTTGTGGTATTTTCTGCAAAATAAGAGATCTTCCATCCACTGGTTCACACCCAAAATGCCACAACAGCAAGAGCTGGGCAAGGCCAAATACAGGAGTCCGGAACTCCATCCAGGTCTCCCAAGTGGGTGGCAGAAGCCCAAGCACTTGAGCTTGCTGCCTCCAAGTGCATTAACAAGGAGCTGGATTGGAAGAGGAGTAATTGGGACTTGAACCAGCATTCTAATATGAGATGTGGGCATCCTAAGTGGCAACATAACATACTGTACCACAAAACCTTATTAATTAGTACTTTCAAACTAGGTTGCAAACATTTTTTAAACATGAATTAATTTACTTAAAAGGCAATAAGACAGAAAGAGGGAGATAAGACAAAGATCTTCCATCTAATGGTTCACTCCTCAAACGCCTACGACAGCAAGGGCTGAGCCAGGCTAAAGCCAGAATCCTGAAACTCAACCCAGGCTTCCAACACGGGTAGGATGGATCCAAGTACTCGAGCCATCCCCTGCTACCTCTCAAGATGTGCATTAGCATAAAGTTAGAATTGGAGGTGGAGCATGGACTAGAACTTAGGCATTCCAATATCCCAAGGGCATCTTAACCACTAAGGGAACTCCCTCCCCACCTTTTACCCATGTCCTTATTTCCTCCTCCTACCTTCCCCTCACCAGTACCAATCTCTCTCATGCAGTGAGCAGTCTGCCCCTCACATACTGTGAACCAGAAGAGTCTTACACGCTGTTAAGATTGGAAGGTCCTTGCAGACAGGGCTTAACTTACTCATGTTTGTATTTTTTACAATACCTTATGTAATAATATGCTGAATAAATATTTTCTAAAATTACTCATCTCCTAATTAACATTAACTGTGAGTCTCTATAATAAACAAATAAGCATTTTCTAATTGTGTAGCTAACGAGGTTACAATTACTCACTGTGATAAGATCATCTCTTGCTCTGAGGACTTTCAGCCTTGCTTGATTCATCAAATTGGACATCTGACTGCACAAAGTGTGGAAAAATAGTATCAGTAAAGCCTAACAAAAACTGCAGAAATGTACAGCATCCTATGCATGTGCAACAAAGACCTGATAAATACTTCTCTAATGATCCAAGATAAACATACACAGATACATTCAGTGGTTTCTACCAACTTATTTTTAAAGCAAATGGAACATTTATTTTATAATTACCAGGTGGCAAGTAAGCACTTTCACATCAGTTATTACAACTTACTCATTCAACAATCCTGTACGGCTTCCATTTTCAGAAACAAGGAAAATGAACTTAAACAATTTGCCTAATGTCAGACAAGTAATAGGTGTTGAAGTTAAGACCTGAATCCAAAGTGGTCAAAGCATCTACCTGGTCCTCTTGCCTCATTAACTTTTTTTGTTTGTTTTTCCATATTTGAAAAGCAGAGTTAGACAGAGAGGAAAATAGAGATCCACCATTTGCTAGTTCATTCCCCAAATGCCTGGAGCTGAGCCAGGCCAAAACCAGGAGCCTGGAACTGCATCTGGGTCTCCCATGAGGGTTGCAAGGACCCAAGTACTTGAACCATCATCTGCCGCATCCAGATGCATTAGCAGGAAAGTAGACTGGAAGCAGAGACAGGTCTCAATCCCAGGTACTCCCACACAGGATATAAGTGTCCCAAGCTACAGCTCTGCCACAGCGCTTGCTACTGTCCCACTGACTTCTGAAAGCTTTAAGTTAGCACTACAACCTAGATCTACTTACATTTTCTTCTGCTGCTCAATCTGCTTTTCTTTCTTCTCATAGTATTCCATAATCTTCAATCTCTGGGTTTGCACAAGACGACCTTTCTCGATGTTGAATTCCTCTTCCGCCTACAGGGGAATTGACTAGTATTAATTCATTACATTAGATTTTGCAAAAATAATTTTATTTCAAGCAGCTGGTGACCAGGTATACTTCCTTTTATTATTTATTCCATATGAAATCAAGAAATTTATCATGACTCTCATCTTCAAAGATGACTTCCTTCTGGGGCAGTCACTTAGCCTAGCGGTTAAGATGCTATATAAGATGCCTGTGTCCAAGAGCTTCCTCCAGGTCTCCCTTGTGGGTGGAGGGTCCCAACGACCTGCATCATCCTCTCCTGCTTTCCCAGGTACATCAGCAAGGAGCTGGATTGGAAGTGGCACAGTTGTGACTCAAACTGAAGCCCTTATGGGATGCTGGCACTGCAGATAGCACCTTAACCTACTACAAACAGTGCTGGCCTTAACAGTATTTTAAAAGTTATAGAGGAGGGCCGGCACTGTAGCACAGCGGGTTAACACCCTGGCTTGAAACATTGGCATATAGGCGCCCATATAGGCGCCGGTTTGAGACCCAGCTGCTCCACTTTCAATCCAGCCCTCTGCTATGGCCTGGGAAAGCAGTACAAGATGGGCCAAGTCCTTGGGCCACTGCACCCACGTGGGAGACCTGGGAGAAGCTCCTGGCTTTGGATCGGCACAACTCCGGCTGTTGTGGCCAACTGGGGAGTGAACCAACGGATGGAAGACCTCTCTGTCTCTGTCTGTCTATCTGTCTCTCTCTGGTTCCTGGCTTCAGATTGGCACAGCTCCAGCCATTTTGGCCATTTGGGGAGTGAACTAGCCTCTGCCTCTCTGTAACTCTGCCTTTCAAATAAATAAATAAATCTTTAAAAAAAGACTTTTTATTTCTTCACTTTCATTCCATTCTTTTAAAGATTTATTTACTTATTTGAAAATCAGAGTTAGTTACAGAGGAGAAACACAGGCAGAAGAGAGATCGTTTTTCCATCCGCTGGTTCACTCCCCAAATGGTCGCCAATGACCAGGGCTGGGCCAGGCCAAAGCAGGAATCAGAAGCCAGGAGCTTCATCCACATTGCCCACATGGGTGCAGGGGCCCAAGCACTTGGGCCATCTTCCACTGTTTTCCCAGGAGCACTAGTAGGGATCTGGATTGGAAGTGGAAAAGCCAGGACACAAACCAGGAGCCCATATGGGATGCCAGAATTGTAGGCTGTAGCTTAACCTGCGTGCCAGGGCTAGTCCCATTTATTATTCTTCTTAAGCATTTATTTATTTACTTGAAAGGCAGTTACAGAGAGAAAAACAGGGAGAAAGGGAGAAAGAGATATCTTCCATCTAACTGGTTCACTCCCCAAATGTCTGCAATGACCTGGGCTGGGCCAAGCCTAAGCCAGATATCCATTTGAGTGTCACAGGTGGGTAACGGGCCTACACAGTTGGACCATCTTTTGCTGCCTTCCCAGGAGCATTTAGCAGGAAGCTGGATTGGAAGTGGAGCAGCCAGAACTTCAACTGGTACTCACAGGCAATGCTGACATTGCAGGAGGCAGCTTAACCTGCTGAGCCTCAGTGCTGGTCCCCAAGCACATACATTTTTCTTTCTTTTAAGATTTATTTATTTTTTTGAAAAGCAGAGATACCGAGAGAAAAGGACAGAGACAGACAGAGATCTTTCATCCACTGGTTTATTCCCGAAACAGCTAAAGCCAGGAGCCAGAAGCATCTTCCAGGTCTCCCAAGAGGCACAAACATTTTTAAGGCTGTATAAGTAACAAATGTAACCACAGTGGATGCATTAAAATAAGAATGGAAGTAGAAGAAGATAATACATTTTGGTCATTTTTTAAAAATATTTAAAAGATAAAGGTCTTAAAATGTCTGTACAATACCTAGGGAGAAGAACAATTTGATATATCATTAAGAAACACCAATTGGTATAAACAACGTTTAACTAAAAATACGGATAAAAATTTCAAATGCTGACTATCACCTTGGTAATGTACAGGGGCTTTCATTTTTTCCCCCTTAAATCTCAGAGGCAGGGGGACAGAGAGAGGGAGGGCGCGAGATCAAGAGTGAGCGCAAGCGAGTCGCACATGAGCTCCAACTCCCACCCACTGCTTCATTTCACAAATTCCAGGGCTACTGAGCCAAAGCTGAACCTAGGAGTTGGGAAGGCAACCAGATCTCCCATATGGATAGCAGGAACCCAATTACTTGAGTCATCACTACCGCCTCCCAGAGTCTGTTGTAGCAGACGCTGGAGTCAGCAGCAAAGCTAGATACTGAACTCAGGCATACTGATATAAGACACAGGGACTTTAAAAGACTATACCTTCCCCTAGTGAACTATCAAATTTAGCTAGAGACAGCTAAATGTTGAATTCCAGATTACAGCAGAAAATTAACCCATTCATTACATTTCTAGCCCCACCATAAAATTTCAGGACACTCACTGGTGATAACAACAATTGGAAAGGAAAAGTTATTTTTAACTTTAAAGATATACACATATTCCTATTAGTCCCACACAATGTATTAAACAACTTTACTACTGTTTATTATTAAATCAGAACAGTATGAAACCTTGATAGCTTAAAACTAGAAAATGGCTCTCACCTTTGCATCTATTTCTTCTGCTTTCTCGTTGGCTTCTTGTTCAATGAAAGCCATCATGTGCTTAATCTGTAAGGAAAAAGATATTTTATTTTTCAATTCAACAAAAGAAAATACAATTATCTTTCCTGATTCACTCAATAATCATTTATTGAAAGCATATCATGCACTGAATACAAACACGTATATGTAACAGTTTCTACCCTACAGAAAACACAGTCTGGAGTTTGTTCTAGCACACTGACAAAATGCAACATTCAATAACACAAACAGGTCATCATCCTAATCTCAAGCAGCTTGGAATACACAGGAGGATGGCTACATACCCCCCCTACCTCACACTCTCCAGCCAGTATCCTCTTTCTCTTCTCCATCCCTAATGAAATGTGTTCAAAAGCCAAGCACACTTAATCTTTTAACTTTTTTTTTAAAGATTTATTTATTTATTTGCAAGTCAGAGTTACAGAGAGAAAGGAGAGACAGAGAGACAGAGAGGACTTCCATCTGATGGTTCACTCCCCAACTGGCCGCAACGGCTGGAGCTGTGCCGATCCGAAGCCAGGAGCCAGGAGCTTCTTCCAGGTTTCCCATGCAGGTGCAGGAGTCCAAAGAATTGGGTCATCTTCTACTGCTTCCCCAGGCCACAGCAGAGAGCTGGATCGGAAGTGGAGCAGCCAGGACTAGAACTGGCACCCATATGGGATGTCAGCACTGCAGGTGGCAGCTTTACCTGCTATGCCACAGTGCTGCCCCTTAACCTTTTAACTTTCTTACATCCTACTCTCAATACACTTCAAGGCCCCCTCTCTCTGAATGCAGTCTCATAAAGTGACAGTCTCCTTGCCCTTGAATCTTGATATTGATGTTTTTAAAAATTTATTTATTTAAAATGTGGACAGAGCAGGAAAGGGGGGAAGAGGAATACAGAGGGAAGGAGAAGGATACTATCTATCCAATGGTTCATACCCAAATGCCTCCAATAGTCAGGGCTGGGTCAGGCTGAAGCCAGGAGTTGAGAATTCCATCTTGGTCTCCCACATGGTGGCAAGAGCCCAATTACTTGGGTCATTACCTGCTACCTCTCAGGCTTAACCCACTGCACCACAACGCCCACCCCAATCTTACTTAATCTTTCATTATAACTTAATACAATGACCAACTTTCCCTTCTTGAACAATCTCTTCCCTTAGCTTCCATAACTTCTCCCCTGCTCCCCTTAGTTCTATGGGGCGATTCTCTTCTTCCTCAGCCTCCTAGACAGCTTTCTGAACACCCTACTGATAGTAACCTGAGTTCAACCCAATCAATATTAACTGCTTATCAGTCCTCTCCCCACCTCTCACTTTGATCTCTGTCTCGGGGACTTAGCATCAACACCTTACTTTGCTTCCTTCTACCTCAGTCCTCACATCCAATCAGCACTAAGTCCTAGCAATTCTCTCTTCTACTAGTTCAATTTGCCCACAATGTTCCATCCTTAGAGATACTACTCTAGTCCTCACCCATCATTTCTCAGTGGAGTTGTTACAGCTTCCAAATTTCTTTCCCCTCTACCAATCTACACTGCAATGACAGATCCTTTCAAAATGCCCATAAGGTGAGCATCTGGTGCAGTGGCTGGGAATGTCCAAATGCCATATCTGAGCACCTGATTCAATTCCCAGTTCATCTATTTCTGATCCAGCTTCCTGCTAACATGCATCCTGGAAAGAAACAGATAACAACTCAAGTACTTGGACCCCTGCTACCCATGTGGAAGACTCATATTGAGTTCCAGGCTCAGCCTGGCTGAGCCCTGGGTGCTGCAGACATCTGGGAAGTAAACCAGTAAATGGAGGATTTCTTTCAGTCTGTTTCCTTGCCTTTCAAATAAAAATGCAATTTTTTTTTAAAAAAAATGCCTATCTTACCCTGCATCACTCTATCTCCACTAAGACAAAATGCAAAGATTTCAAAAGATCCTCTGATCACTGCTACATTTTACACATCACATGAAACAAATCCCCTGCTCACCACTCAGACCACCTGCTCTTGCAATAGCAAATCTATTTAACTTCCTTGACCTCATCATTTTCTTATCTCTAAGACTTCAAATACATTCTTCCTTCCAGTTGGCATATTCTTTTATTTATTTATTTATTTATTCATTTTGACAGAGATAGACAGTGAGAGGGAGAGACAGAGAGAAAGGTCTTCCCTCCGTTGGCTCACTCCCCAAATGGCCGCTACGGCCGGCGCGCTGCGCTGATCCGAAGCCAGCAGTCAGGTGCCTCCCCCTGGTCTCCCACATGGGTGCAGGGGCCCAAGCACTTGGGCCATCGTCCACTGCCTTCCCAGGCCACAGCAGAGAGCTGTGGCTGGAAGAGGAACAGCCAGGACCAGAACCCGGCGCCCAAATGGGATGCCGGCGCAGCAGACGGAGGATTAGCCAAGTGAGTCACAGCACCGGTCCGAGGTTGGCATATTCTTACTATCCCTCTTCATTTAGCTAACATTTCAGGCCTTTGCTCACTTAATTGTTAACTTCTTTGGGAAATCTTTCCTGATTCTCTCATGTATGTTTATCTCAGACACTCTACATCCTGTCTACCACAGTGCCTAAGCGTATTTGTAAATATTTGCTTATACATTCCTACCCTCAACTCATCTATAAGCAAGGAATTTCCTAAAGAGTTGTAGATCGCTGGCTACAATTGGAGAATAAGGTCCACTTATTCTGAATGGAGCCTGAGAGATGGTCTTTTACATCCAAAACACAGAATAATCAACACCACAGCAGGTATTCAATAAACATTCATGAGTAAATGAAAATCTGGAGTTTCAAGCCTTCTGAGTAGTACAGGGCATCCCAGGTACTTTCCAGGGTCTAACAGTCTAAAAACAAGTCCCAAAGCAGCTTCTCTATCTAAAAATATACTATAAATCTAATATACACATAGTTGTGCAAAAGTGAGTCAGTGCTATGGTGCAGCAGGTTAAGCTACTGTCTGGACACTAGCATCCCATATCCCAGTGCTGGTAAGTCCCATCTGCTCTGCTTCCAATCTAGCTCCATGCCAATGCGCCAGGCAAAGCAGTAGAAGATGGTCCAAGTACTTGGGCCCCTGCCACTCACATGAGTTCCTGGCTCTTGTCTTCAGTTTGACCCAGCCTGGCCATTGACACCATTTGGGGAGTGAACAGTGGAAGGAAAATCTGTAACTGCCTTCCAAATAAATAAATCTAGAAAACAAAAATACAAGCTCATAGCATCAAGATCTTAAGATACATGGTATGGCTTTAGAAAGGCTTTTTTTTTTTTTAATCAAAATCCTTAGGAGCCACTCTACTTTTGAGGTGCCAAAAAAATTATAACTAGAGCCTATTGTATAGACACTTCAACTTTTTTCTTTAAAAAACAATCTTTTTTTCTTTAATATTTATTTATTTGAAAGGCAGAGTTACAGAGAGGGAGAGAGAGAGAGATCAATTTTCCATCTGGTGATTCTCTCTCCAAATGGTTGCAACAGCCAGAGCTGGACCAACCCAAAGCCAAGAGCCAGGAGCTTCTTCCAGGTCTTCTATGTGGATACAGGGCCCAAGAACTTGGGCCATTTTCTGCTGCTTTCCCAGGCACATTAGCAGGGAACTGAATTTGAAGTAGAACCCATATGGGATGCCTGCACCACAGGTGGCAGTTTTACCTGTTACGCAACATTGCTAGCCTGATACTTCAACTGTTATAAAACTGCAGGCAGGCCTTGAAATATGTGGAGCATCTAATCCAGAGCTGTATGCATGGAAAATCACTAACCTCACGTAAGGAATTAGCCCCCACAGATGGTATGCATGTGATCATGGTGAGGAACAGCATCTCTACAAATGCAGTTTGAAGCCTCACTAAGCTCACTCTGTCTGGAATTTTTTTTAAATGGGCATTTTATATTTTTTAATTAATTTTTAATTAATTTGAAAAGCAGAGTTACAAACAAAGAGAGGGAGAGACAAAAGAGAGAAGTCTTCCATCTGCTGGTTCACTCCCCAAATGGCTGCAATGGCCCAAATGGCTGCTGGGCAGATCTGAAGCCAGGAGCCAGGAGCCAGGAGCTTCATCAATGCCTCCCACATAGGTGCAGGGGCCCAAGCAGTTGGGCCATCTTCTACTGCTTTCCCAGGCCATCAGCAGTGAGCTGGATTGGAAGAGAAGCAGGAGGGACTGGAACTGGCACCCATATGGGATGTCAGTGCCGCAGGCAGAGGCTTAACCCACTCCACCACAGCGTGGGGCCCTGGAATTTTTAAAGTAGTTTAAGTACAATAATCAAAAGTGGTGTTTATAAATGCTATGAGACAAGCTTGGCCTTTAAAGGTGAACCCTGATTCAAACCTGTATTATCTGCCTTTATCACTCCTGCTGTACTCTCAGCTACCAGATTTGACCAGACCAGCATAGCCTAGAGCAAAACACAGATCTTAACACAGGTCAGAGAAGCATATTTACAGTCAACAAAGAGTTCTATGAAGAAAAATAATTTCAGCACCTTAAAGATATTCAACTCCATCCCAAAGGCAGAAAACAACTGACTTTAACAATACTTTCTTATTCCTGTTAACCCAGTAATTAAGTTTTTTGGATTCCTTAAAAAATTTGATGAAATAAATGATCACACTCCTCACATAGAAAAGCAAATATGTACAAATATTTTAATATAATGGGGACAAGGCCAGGGAATTCTGGATTATAAAGCACCTCCTAGGATGGCCCAAGTAGTTGGGCCCTGCACCCCATGCGAGACCAGGATAAGTACCTGGCTCCTGCCATCGGATCAGCGCAGTGCGCTGGCCGCGGCGGCCATTGGAGGGTGAACCAACGGCAAAGGAAGACCTTTCTCTCTGTCTCTCTCTCTCTCACTGTCCACTCTGCCTGTCAAAAATAAATAAATAAATAAATAAAAAATAAAAAAAAAAATAAAGCACCTCCTAGGTTCTTGTCCTATTCACCTGTGAGAGTACAGTGAACAAAAAACACTGCTGCTCATAAAGGTTACAAAAATCATGGAACGGTACAGAAGACAGACAAAATTTCTTTACCCTTTCAATTTTATATAAGGAAAAAGCAATCTTTTGGTCTAGATCCCAAAAAAATACACAGCAGTACCTTCACACTACATTTGAGGAAGCCTCAGTCTTTAATAAACATAACAAGGCAGGAAAACAGGAATAAGAGGATGAAAATTAGTATCGTGACAACTGAGACAATTTAGAAGGTACTGTTCCACTGCATCAAGTTTTTCCTACACTAAAAATCAGAAGCAGTGACAAATATTCAAAAACCCCACTGTTCTATAAGATTCCTTAAACTTCTCCATAGATGGTATTTTTACCATCCTCATTTCCCCTTTGTGATTAATGAGGAAATACCTCACTCGTTAGTGCATATTAGGTTTAGAAAAAAAAAAATCGGAAAGACATTTTCATGGGAATGGAAATATCGACCAAAAAACCTTTTTATTCCTCATCTAAGAAAATTCATGAGCCGGTGAGTGTGCTTTAGTCAGAGAATTGTGCTCTACTTCAGGAAAAGAGGAGGGTTAGTTCTCTCAACTACACGGATATTAAACCGCAGCCTTAAACTACCTTCTCTCCAAAACCTACCAGCAATCAAATGCAGGACCCTGGTTTTAGGCTATCGGCAAGACAGATGGAAACCACTTCTCACGTTAGTTACAGATCCACCAACGCCGCCACATTTTCCAAAGAGGCCTCTGCGCTGTAATATTCCTAATACCCACAAACTTGAAGGCAGGGCACATTTTTAAAAGCTAGTTTCCCAGGACTGATTATAACCTTTCACAGTGGACATGTATGCTCACGACTTTCACACAATATCCACAAACTGACTCATCTACAGGTGAGTACCAAACAGGCGCTGGGGCTCATAAACGTCGGGAAAAAGAGCTTTGTGTTTGACAAATATTAACATACAAACCAGATTAATTACGACGGAGGAGACGCCACCAAGAGGAAAATGAACACTTAAAGACAATGACCTCAAAATAACATTGGGAGCTGCTCTCCCTCCCCACGCAGTTTCTTCGCTTTCGTAGGCCGTAAACCCTTCCTTCAGGATTAAATATGAAATAGACGCTGTTTTCAACCTAAATCTCAGCTCCATTAAGCATAGCGAGTAGCCGAGGCGGCCGCCCACCAGGCATGGCCTTCAGCAGGCGGCTAGAAGGCAAGCAGGCAGGGCGCAAAACCCGAGCAGAAGTCACATGAACTGCGGAGTTAACTTAGGACCCGAGGACTCCGGGTAGGGACCCTCCCGCAGGTCCTCGCCCGCACCCTCCCCGAGCCATACTCCAGCTTTCCACCTCCGAGAACTAACCCAACTCTCACCTGCTTTTGCACATCAGCATCGCTGAGGGCCATGGCGAAAGCGATACTAGGCCGACGGTCCCCACTGCAGGCACAGAAGAGGAAAATTCCAGGTCGACCTTCGGCTCCCTGTACTTATAACTCCAGCTTCCGGTTCCTTCTGGGTGACCGCGCAGCCCATCCCTATGAGCCTTCTCATCCAATGGGAAGAGAGTAAGGCCAGGGAAGTCCCACCTTCTCCCCACCCCAACCCGCCTTCTGTGACAGGGCGCATGTGCAGTGGGCCCTGCCGGAGTCCTTTTAATTCCTAGCTCGTGACCACTGTTTGTTTTCCTAAACCGCCTGATTTGCGGTAGGAAGGATAGAGGAAGAGAAGTTCCTGGGTCTCAAATTAGTTGAGCTGTTTGGGTTTCTTCAACCCTGCAGCCCTTGCATTTTTTTAGAGTTTAAATATTTTATTAATAATCAAACCAGAATTTATTGTAATTTTCCTTTCTTAGCGTTAATGGGAAAAACTTATAAATATTTTATTTATTGCTATGGGAAGCCATGGATTTGAACTGGGCACCTGTAGTAGGTCAAATCAATATAGATTAATCACAGTAACTAAGCTTTAGTTGGTTGCAATAGGCCTTGTAGCCAATTAACTAGGCTGTAATCAATTGACTGGTTGATTGACTAAGCTGTCACCAGTTAAGTCACTTTCTATCCTCACTTCCGTTTTTCTATAAATGCTGTCTGAGCACTTTGTTGTTTAGAGTTTCTCAGAACTTTCTCTGTTTCTGGAAGCCTCCTGACTTGGAAATATATATATATACACACACACACACACTTATATATAATATTATGTTATTATATATTTGTGTTATATGGTAGCTTTGGGATCCGCAAGGAGAGCAGGCCTATACTTCTGGGAATGGAGAGTCCCTACCTGTACTTCCGGGGAAGAAAAGTCCTTGTCAAGTTCCCCACGGGTGCCTAAAGGTCAACCAGTGAGGATCAGACTTGTCTCAACCTTTAACCCCCACGCCCTGTATCTATAAAAGGAGACCACCCAACCTCTGACACGCGACTTCCCTGGCCCCCGCTCTGTTGCTCTGTTGTGACTGGTGAACCTCGCCTGGGAGCGGAATCCCAATAAAAGCTTGTGAGTTAATTGATCCGTCTGCCTGGGAAGATTTGTTACGCGCTGGACACCTTGCATTATAGTCTCATTTATTATATGTAATTATAGTACGTTAATATTATATATATAACTTTGTTTTACTTTGCTCAAATAAATTATGAATTTATTTAATAAATTTGCTTCTTAAAATTATTAGTGGATTTTATTTTGGGAATGGTTTTAGCTTTACAGAGAAATTGAGCAAGACAGAACAGAGTTACAGTGCTGGCATTTAACCCGTCTTGGACACCGACAGCCCAGCTTCTGACTCTGGCCTCCAGCTTATATGGACCCTGGGAGGCAGCAGTAATGGCTCATTAGCTGGATTCCTGCCTCCTGGCCTAACCCAGACCTTGTGAGCGTATGGGGGAGTAAACCAGCAGGTGGACACTCTTTGCCTATGAAATTAAAACAGAAAAAAAGACCCTAAAGATTCTCTATGCCTTCTCTGCCTCACACAGTTTCCTGTATTATTAACATCTTACATTATTACAGTACATTTGTTACAATTAACAAATGTATTTTGTTAACAAATGTATTTTGTCCATGTATTAACTAAAATCCAGAGTTTATTCTGATCAGTTTTCACCCTATGCCCTTTTTGTGTTCCGGAATCCCATCCAGAAAACCACATTACGTTTAGACTAAAGTCGTGTCTTTTTAGGCTTCTCTTGGCTGTGACAGCTTCACACTTGTTTTTGAATATCTTGATAGTTTTGAGGAGTGCTGGTTACGTATATAAGTAGGATTGCCTCTTCTGGAATTCTTGTCATTTTTAGCTGGGATTTTGGGTTTGGGGGAGGAAGATCGTGTTCATCTGTCTAATCAAGCGTACATGCTGTCAACATTTTTGACTTGCTGTCAGTTTTTGATCACTTGAATGAAGCATTGTTTGTTAGCTTCTGCCAATGTTAAATTATTCTTTTGTCCCCCTTTGGAAGGTGGTCGCTGTGTGAAATCCACACTTAATGTAAAATATCTTTAGTGTAAAATATCTGCATAAGTTTGGAATTCTTCTGAGAATACATTTTTCACCACTCTCAGAACTAATTTAGAGGGCAACTAGGACAGAAATCCCCCCGGGCTTGTTTGCCTTCTTGTCCTTTGGATTTACTTCAGACTTCATTATTTTTCCCCAACACCATAAGCAAAAGTTTTTTGAAAACTTCTTTATCTTTAGAGTACATGCCTAGTAGTAGAGTCATGGGTCAAAGAGTATACACTTTTGGGGCCAGTGCTGTGGCGTACCAAGTAAAGCTGCCATTTGCACTGTCAGCATCCCATATGGGTGCTGGCTCGAGTCCTGGCTGCTCCACTTCAGATCCGGATCTCTGCTTTGGTCTGGGAAACCAGAAGAGGAGGCCCAAATCTTTGGGCCCCTGTACTTATGTGGGAGACCTGGAAAAAGCTCCAGGTTCCTGGCTGTGGCCATTTAGAGAGTGAACCAGCGGATGGAAGAGCTTACTCTCTCTGCCACTGCCTCTATAACTCTGCCTTTCAAATAAATAAATAAATCTTTTTTAAAAATTTATACACTTTAAAAATTTGTATTTATTTTTTAAAGAGTTATTTTGAAAGAATTTCAGAGAGAGAGGGAGAGAGAGATCTACCTACGTGTTAATTTGTCCTCTTATTTAAAAAGAAAAAAGTACTTCTCATTTTGTTTGAAAGACAGAGACAGAGACAGATCTTCACCTGCCGGTTCACTCCCTAAATCCCCACAACAGCCAGGGATAAGCCAGGCATAAAATGAGCCCAGAGGGCCAGCACTGCAGCTCAATAGGCTAATCCTCCGCCTGCGGCGCCGGCACCCCAGGGTCCGGGGCACCGGATTCTGCCCCGGTTGCTCCTCTTCCAGGCCAGCTCTCTGCTGTGGCCCGGGAGTGCGGTGGAGGATAGCCCAGGTCCTTGGGCCCTGCACCCGCATGGGAGACCAGGAGAAGCACCTGGCTCCTGGCTTCGGATCAGCGTGGTGTGCCGGCCGCAGCAGCCATTTGGGGGTGAACCGACAGAAAAGTAAGACCTGTCTCTCACTGTCCACTCTGCCTGTAAAAAAAAAAAAAAAAAAAAAAAAAAAAGGAGCCCAGAGTTCAATATGGGTCTCCCTTGTAGGTTTTAGGGACCCAACTACTTAAGCTACTACCTGCTGCTTCCCACAGGATGCACCATCAGGACAGAGTCAGCAGTCAAGGAACTAGGACTTAAAGCTTCTTTACAGCTGTGCCAAATGCTTGCCCCTAATTTTTCCTTTAAATGAGAGTGGTACAAATATTTCTAAGGCTCTTAATACCTATTGCCAAATTCTTTTTCAGCTGTATGGTGTACAACATTCCTTATAATATATGACAGATTGATACATGTACTTGACAAGACTAATAATGTTGGACAAGGGAAGGATTTAGGCACAAGACAGTACAATTAACACAGCAATAGAAATCCATGCAATTGATACTAAATCAATCAATATTCTCAGCAACTAGGCTAAGCCAGACAATAGAATCACTTGTTTCATTTTGTTAGTCTTTGCATTAATGTTTTTTTTTTCTTCTTCTTTTTTTTTTTAAATAACCGGGGTGGGGGAGGTGGTTCCCATGGCAGAGGGGGGCACTTTGAGGTTCTCTCTTTTTTTTTTTTTTTTGACAGGCAGAGTGGACAGTGAGAGAGAGAGACAGAGAGAAAGGTCTTCCTTTTGCCGTTGGTTCACCCTCCAAAGGCCGCTGCAGCCGACGCACCGCACTGATCCGATGGCAAGAGCCAGGTACTTATCCTGGTCTCCCGTGGGGTGCAGGGCCCAAGGACTTGGGCCATCCTCCACTGCACTCCTGGGCCACAGCAGAGAGCTGGCCTGGAAGAGGGGCAACCAGGACAGAATCCGGTGCCCCGACCGGGACTAGAACCTGGTGTGCCAGCGCAGCAAGGCAGAGGATTAGCCTAGTGAGCCGTGGCGCTGGCCTGCATTAATGTTTTCATTCTTCACTGTCTGGGAAGACAGATTTATGATGTTTCCGTAGTGCTTCTGGGTCAGGATAAAGTGGTATTGACTCATTTGGATTACAGTCCCTCTTACCATGTATTTTTTTTTTAAAGATTTATTTATTTATTTGAAAAAGTTACATAGAGAGAGAAGGAGAGGCCGAGAGAGAGAGAGAGAGAGAAAGAAACAGAGAGAGAGAGAAAGAAAGAGAGGTCTTCCATCCGCTGGTTCACTCCCCAGTTGGCTACAACGGCCGGAGCTGCACCAATCCGAAGCCAGGAGCTTCATCCGGTTCTCCCATGGGGGTGCAGGGGCTCAATGACTTGCGCCATCTTCTGCTCCTTTTCCAGGCCATAGCAGAGAGCAGGATTGGAAGTGGAGCAGTTGGGACTTGAACCAGCGCCCATATGGGATACCAGCACTGTAGGTGGTGGCTCTACCCACTATGCCACAGCACCAGCCCCATTGTCATGTATTTTTACAATATCCTGCAAATGACTGGGTTTGGGGAATGGGAGAAACAATCTAACACTTGGAATAGAAGAGCATTGTATAAATCAACTATCTTCTGTTTTTGGAAAACAGTTGATATTTATTATTATTTTGAAACATTAGGAAATACAAAAAAGTGGGATGGGCATTTGGCCTAGCAGTTAATTCCATTTAATGCCCTCATACCAAGAGGGCCTGGGTTCCAGCCCTGACTGCTCCCCATTCCAACTGCCTGCTAATGCACACACCAGGAGGCAGCAGGTGCTGGCTCAATTACTTGGGTTCCTGTCAGACACCTGGGAGGCCTGGATTGAGTTCTGAGTTCCTGGCTTTGTCCCGGCCCAGTCCTGGGTGTTGCTGGTATTTGGGAAGTGAACCAGTAGACGGAAGATTTGTATTTGTCTCTGTCTCTCTGCCTTTCAAAGAAATGAAAATAAATAAGTTAAAATACAAAAAGTATTAAAAAAAATCACTACCTTCTAAAATTAACAATTAGCATTTGTCACATTTACTTTAGGACCTCATTTTAAGTAAATTGCATAGTTAATATCCTGTTTGGAGCAGCCTCTTCTTCCCCCTTGTTCCTGCTTGTTGCAGAGACAGTTTCTGCGGTGTTTTTGCTGAATCACCTAGGAGCAAGCCAGGCCTTGTCTGATGAGAATGTGGTAAACTTTGCAGACAGTCTCTGCAGTGAAAAACAAACTATGAGACACCATCCCTCAGCATCTTTGAGGGACTGGTTCCAGCACCCTTCTTAGATACCAAAATCTGTGGGTGTTCAAGTCCCTTGGATAAAGTGATACAGTAGTTACATAAAACCTACTTACATAAAACCTACGTATGTCCAACAGCCTACCTCAAACCATCATAATGCCTAATAATACCCTAATAACCAAACAATACCCAGTATATGCAAATTCTATGCAAATGTGCTGTATTATTTAGGGAATCATAAGAGAATAGGTCTGTTCATGTGCAGCACTTTTGGTTTTTTCCCAAATATTTTCAATCTAGAATTGGTTGAATGCACCTATGGATACAGAGGGCCTACTCTGTGTGTAATGATGGAGCCTTTGCTGATTTTCTAAAGCAAATTTGTATCTTAGCTTAGTTCTTGAAGAAAAACTTTGTTTAAAGCAGATTTTGCTTCACCAAAATCATTGGCCTAGATTCCTATTGGTTTGTCAGCAAGAGCAGGGCTTATTCACTCATGGTCTCATCTACTTGCATGCTGGTTAACTGGAAACTGATTCAGCAGTACAGATAAGCTAACTCTTAAGTTTGTTTGCTGAAGAGCACAGAGAGGGAAAGACTTATGGATAAATGTAAATTATCTCTGCTTTTAAATGTTGGGATTAATTTTAAGAGAAAAAAAATCTAGCTGAAAATAGTAACTAATTTATGTGCCTATATTTTTTGCCTCTTTCCAACCAAATATGTGAGTGACTTAAAACCTAGATGCCAGGGTGCTGCTTGAAATGCCATCTCCCCAGATAGAGTGCTATTCTCAGCCCCTGTGTTTCTGATCTGGCTTCCTGATGATGTGGACCCTGGGAAGTAGCAGGTGGTGGCTCAAGTAGTTGGGACCCTGCCATCCACACAGGTGACTCAGATGTTGTTCAGGGCTCTTGGCTTTGACTTGGTCAAAGCTATTGTGGGTATTTGGAGAATGAACCAGTAGTTGGAAGATCTCTGTCTCTTTCAAATAAAATGAAAACAAGTAAGTAAATCTTAAAAAATCTAGATGGCATCAGGTCACTCCCCAGTTTACTGCCCTCTGGTGTCTTCTATTCATTCCCGAACACCTTCCAGCTGGGCCTCTGTCAATGCCAACCTGTTCTGGTTTTGCCTACTGCCTGTTTCATCACTCTTCTTTCTTTCGCTCACTGCCTCATAGCTTTCCTGGCTTCCTTTCAGTTCCTTACATACATCAAGCTTTTTGCCTGAGCAGTTCTTTCCCTCCATATACCTTGATTTCATCCAAGTCTAAACTTAAAATTTTCCCTTTATCAGAGCCGGCGCTGTGGCATAGTGGATAAAGCCACCGCCTGCAGTGCTGGCATCCCATATAGGCACCAGTTCGAATCTCAGCTGCTCCACTTCCAATCCAACTCTCTGCTGTGGCCTGGGAAGGCAGTAGAAGATGGCCCAGGTCCTTGGGCCCTGTGTCCATAAGGGGGACCCAAAGGAAGCTCCTGGTTCCTGGCTTTAGATTGGCTTAGCTCTGGCCTTTGCAGCCATTTGGAGAGTGAACCAGCAGATGGAAGACTTCTCTCTCTCTGCCTCTGCCTCTCTGTAACTCTGCTTCAAATAAATAAATAAATCTTTAAAATAATTTATTTATATACAATATTTTCCTTCAGGTCAGATCAGGTGCTTTTCCTGACCACCCTTTCATTTATGTATTCTAGCCTGTTTGTTACAGGTACATGCAACCATTTTACACTTTCATTTTCTTTTCCCCCTGGTTTTCCAACTAAGATGATAGCTTCACAACAGGGATCATGTCTGACCTATCAATTGCCTTTGCTAGCATTCAGCACACTGCCTGGTACATAGCAGGTATTTGCTAAAAAAATCAATGAATGTGAATGAATAAAACAACTGGAACTAGAATATAGATTCCATAGTTATAACAGACTGTAGGCAAGAACACTTTATTATCTATTAAAATCTGTCAAAAAATCCCCAAATCATAAATTGCTATTACTAAAGTCACATAAGTTCTGTAAGAGGACTACATTACTTTTACCATTCTTTCTGTTCAAAATCGGTTGACAATTGTGGACTTTCTATTCAGTTCCATTGACATACATATCTATTCTTACAGTATACCTTCACAAAAATTAAAAAAGAAAACCCAAACTGAAATCGATCTGAAATGAACATAATCATATATTAAATTGATAACCCAATTGTAAAGAAAAATGAAGCATTTCATTTGACTTCTGGGAAAGTTTTATTGAGACAAAATTTATATAGAAAACAGTATAGACCTTAAAAGTACAGCCAGGGGGCCAGTGCTGTGGCTTAACAGGTAAAGCCATAGTCTTCAGTATTCCATATGGACATTGGTTCGAGTCCTGGCTGCTCCACTTTCCATCCAGCTCCCGGCTAATGCCTGGGAAAGTAGCAGGGGCCCAAGCACTCTCCCTACATGGGAGACCTAGAGGAAGTTCCTGGCTCCTATCTTCAATCTGGTCCAGCTCTTGCTATTGCAGCCATTTGGGGAATGAACCAGCAGATGGAAGATTTCTCTATCTCTCTAACTCTGCCTTTCAAATAAAATATAAATCTATTTTTAAAGATTTATTTTATTTATTTGAAAGAATTACAGAGAGGTAGAGACAGAGAGGTCTTCTATTCGGGTTGGTCTTGTAGTGCAGGGCTCAAGCCACTGTCTGCAGTGCAGCATCCCAAATGAGCACAGGTAGGAGTCCCCGTGGCTCCACTTCCCATACAGCTCCCTGCTAATACGCAAGGGGAAGCAGTAGAACGTGGCCCAAGTGCTTGGGCCCCTGCACCACGTGGGAGACCAACTTGGCCCAGCCCTGACCATTGCAGCCATTTGCAGAGTGAACCAGTGGATGAAAGATCCCTCTTTAACTCTGCCTTTCAAAAGAATCTTAAAACAAGGATTGGATCGCTACTGTGGGAGTGCCTTCAGGAAGTTCCCTCTGCTATAGTGATTCCCCCTTCAAGGACCATCTTTACCAGACACGGGTTTGGCGACCTCGCAGCTCTTTATTTGTTGACTTATGTAACCCGTTAGCACACACTGAAACTTAGTAACACGTCTGTAGAACAGATACACTCCGTCCCTGCACAGGGATTAGCCCTTCAATTATCCCAGCTGCTCTCCTAGACCCTGTAACTGGAAATGAATTAGGCAGCAGGAACTTCCCTGGGGCCGGGAATCACAGATTTAAGGACCGCCTGGGAAGAACCAACTAGGGGTGGGGTTAGTTCTTCAGGTCACTTCCGCCCGAAGGAACCTCCACATCCCCATCGAGCCCGCTTCCGCTCAGAATAAACAAGCCGCCCCCTTCCGGCGCTCTCCGGCGCCCTTGATCCGCCCGGACGCCGGCGGTGACGCAAGCACGCCGGGGTGACGGAAGCACGCTGGGTGACCTCACCCTCCAACATGGCGGCGGCGGTAGATTAGGGCCACGGGTCGGAGCAGCCACCGCCGCTGGGGGACCCTGTTGGAAACAGCTGCCGCCGCCGCCGCCGCCGCCTCTTTCATCTCTTCTGGGCTAGGGGCCAGGGCCAGGTGAGGGGAGTGGGGTTTCGGGCAGATAGAACTGGGTGAGGCGGCGACTTTCACCTGGGTCTGGGTAGGAAGGTGTCCAGACTGTACCGAACCACCGACCGCCCAGTGGCTCCGACGACGTGTGAGTGTTGTGGTGTGTTTCTACGTGTGCACGTACGTGTGTATGTAAGTGAACGGTGCCTCGCCACCCGAGGGTCTCCCGAGGCTGACGCGGCCCGTCGGCGTCCCACCGGACTTGTCCAGCGTGGTCCGGCTGCAGCCGCTTGTTGAGCGCGGCTGTTGCCGCTTGCGCCGCCCGCCCGCCACTCAGAACTCGCCCTTGCTCTACAGTGCTTCTCTTCCCCACGATATAGCTTCACGTGCAAGCCGGGTCTATTTTTAGGGCCAGTCTGCGGAACGTGGGCTTCTTTTTGGTCAAAGAAGAGGTTTGTTTTTTTTTTTTTTTTCATATGATTCAGTTAGAAAGATTATGTATTATGGGTTATTAACGCTGCCAGCCCGGTCGTTTTTTCTTACAGATTGTTAGAAATCTGTGTTTCCCAGCCTTAATTCCCTGTTGTTCTGACACCCATTCGTTTTCCAGTAAAGCCTGCCTTTTTTTTTTTTAGCCTGGAGGCAATTCAGTTCCCATTTAGTCGTTTTTTCCTTTGCTTCTATCCGCTCCACAGCCACAGAGATCCAAGTTTCTTGCCTTCATAACCAACTGTGAGAGAGAATGCCTAGATTTTCTGAGTTTGAGGCTTTAACCCAGGGTTGAAAATCGGACAGATCTGGCCAGTTGTACACATGCTGTTGACTGATAGCTTTGTTTAGCTGTTAACCACTCCCCGTAGAAATGTTTGTTTATTGAAAATAGCTATTCCACCGTGCTTGAGAGTTTTGAACGAAACTGACAGTACCCTCTTTTGCTTTATGATGTAAAACAAGACTGAAAATACTTTTGCAAAATTGTCAGTAAAATTTCCCGTTTAGGTTTGGTGTAAACCAGAAATTTGCTCTCTGCCCTGACTTGTTGTGTGACCTTGGATGAGTTGCCACACCCTTCACATACTTTTTTTTTTTTTTAAATCCTCCGAAAAATTAAGCAGGCATGTACTTCCTACACGCGGTTGGGTAAATGTACCCTGTGAATTGGAAATATTTAAGCCATTATGAACTACTCTTCATTTGCTACAAGGCAGTTAAAGATTTTGAAATTTATTTTTCTCTGGTAGGGTACTATCAAATATTTTTTCTAAAAACCCATTTTTTTAATGTGGAGACTTGTATGCCAGTAATTGAATTCAGTGGTAGGATGTGCAAGATTGAGTCCATACAGTTTTGTAAAGGAAAAAAATAGTGTGTTCAGTAATATATCACTCAGTCAGTGTTTATGAAATGTTATACATACTGGGCTGACGCCATGGCTCGCTTGATTGATCCTCCGCCGGGTTCTAGTCCCGGCTGCTCCTCTTCCAGTCCAGCTCTCTGCTTTGGCCCAGGAGGGCAGTGGAGGATGGGCCAAGTGCTTGGGCCCCCGCACCCGCATGGTAGACCAGGAAGAAGCACCTGACTCCTGGCTTCAGATTGGTGCCATTAGGGGAGTGAACCAATGGAGGGAAGACCTTTCTCTCTGTCTCTCTCACTGTCTATAACTCTACCTGTCAAATAAATTAAAAAAAAAAATGTTATACATACAAAGCTTTGAGGACTAGTGATTTCAAGAATAATCCAAGTTTTTGAAATTATTTTTCTTATGAAATATTTTGGACATACAAAACAAGTTTTAAACAGTATTTCAATCTTGCTTTTCTCATATTTCAGACTTGATTTTGATTCTTATCTTCCAAATAAGTTGTCACCAAGAGTTCTTGCTTAATATATATAACAGAGTTGGGGCAGGGGGCTTATTTTCAGAGTAGCAGATTGTTTAACAGTTTTATTGAGAAGTTACTAATATACTACATGACTCACAGTTGTACAGTTTAGTAGATTTTATTATATCCACAGAGTTGTGCAGCCATCACTACAGAAGTTTTCCTCACTCCCTCCAAAAAAACTGCATACCAATTTAGCACATTCTTTTTTTTTTTTTTTTTTTTTTTTTTTTTGACAGGCTGAGTGGATAGTGAGAGAGAGAGAGAGACAGAGAGAAAGGTCTTCCTTTTGCCGTTGGTTCACCCTCCAATGGCCGCCACGGCTGGTGCGCTGCGGCCGGCACACCGCGCTGATCCGATGGCAGGAGCCAGGTACTTCTCCTGGTCTCCCATGGGGTGCAAGGCCCAATGACTTGGGCCATCCTCCACTGCCTTCCCTGGCCACAGCAGAGAGCTGGCCTGGAAGAGAGGCAACCGGGACAGAATCCGGTGTGCCGGCGCCGCAAGGTGGAGGATTAGCCTAGTGAGCCGCGGCGCCGGCCTAATTTAGCACGTTCTTTTTCTTTTGAAAAGCAGAGAGCACAGGCATACTGTGCGCTAGGAGGCCAAGAGACAGATCCAGCGTCCACTGGTTCACTCTCCAAATGCCCACAACTGCAGTAGCTGAACCCGGCCAAAGCCAGGAGCCAGAACCCAGCCCCTCTGATATGGGATGTGGGCATCCTAAGTGGTGTCTTAACTGCTGTACTTGTTATTTATTCCCACTTTCCTCCCTTTACCTAGGCAACTACTTACTTACTTTTTCTCTCTGAGTTTTTTTTATGTGAATTGTCTGGCCATTTCACATAAACAGTCTCACCTAGTATGTGGTCTTTGGTGACTGACTTCTTTGACTTAGCATTGTTTCCAGAGTTCATGTTGTAGGTATCATTTCATTCCTTTTTGTGGCTACCTAATATTCATTCTATGGACATAACCCATGTTTTTAATCTACCAGTGGATGAGCAGCTATTTCCCCTTTTTGCGGCTTTGAGCATTTATGTGCAAGTTTTTGTGTCAACATGTATTTTTCATTTTTCTCTGACGTATACCTAATAGAGTAACAGAGTATGCAACTGATTTTTATGTCTTCCTTTTTCACAACCTGGGTACACACTTGGGAAGACTAATTATTGTGAAATTCTGTGAGAGAGGAAGGGGAGTGAGACATTCCTATGTGAGTACATTATCTGCCAGTGCCAACTGCTGAGTGGATGTGTTTGGGGGCCACTCTTAACAGATTAAACTGGAGTGTTTCAGTTAGGCACGTTTAACTGGAGAAAGATAGTCAACACTAGAGAACTAGTGTCTGCTGAGTTTTAAAAATGACACCTTCTTACTCAGTTGCATTTCTCAACAGGGCCTGGTAAATTTTTGCACTTTGATAATTTTTGTTAGGGTTATTCTTTTGAAAAAGTCCTAGAATTTAATAGAAGTTATTAAAGTATGGATTAGAAATTACCATTATACTGGACTTTATGTTAATTTAAAAAAATACCTATTAAGAGCACCCTGAGACTAAAAGATCTGATAGCCAAGAAACTTTGTTAATGTTTTAGTTCTGTATTTTTTATTAGAAAGTTTAAATTTTTTGTCCTTATAAATTTAAGATTATAGATATGTTTGTTAGTGATTAAGTGTTTTAACAATTTTACTACATTATAATTTTTATTTCAGTGAAAGGAAATGTTTTTAGAAAAACCAAAGAGGTTCCTGAAAATATTTAACTATTTAAGATGTGTTAAGTTTTAAGATGTTTCTGTTCTGGTTCTAAGAGGTTAAAGAATACAATATAGGTATGATATTCTAAGTTAGTATGTGTGAAAGTATATGAATGCCATGTATTGATCTGAGTTTTTGAGGAAAACCTGGTATCTGTAAACCTCTGAGATTGAAATAGTTTTCATAATTCTGAGCTTTAGGATGTAAAATCATTTCTCAAGTTTCAGTGGGAATTGTCTGTGGGTTGGGACAGGCCTTCCCAGTGCAGCCATATATAGGTATACAGACTGTGTTCCGCACACCACCAGGCGGCGCCACTCAGTTTCTGCCATGTCAATCTTCCAGGAGAACAGTTCTTCCTGGGTAGCAAGCAGAATTGCCTCCGGTGTTTGGTGTCAAAGCATACCAACAAGAGAGTGCTGCTTGTGTTAACTTTTTTCCATTTTGTTTGTGACAGCATTTAATATTGTAACTATTACTTCAAGCAAAGGAAAGAGTTATAAAATAAAAACTTGTGCTTTTGTCCTCCAACTTTGTACTGCTGAGGTAACTGTTGTGAAGTTTGATTTGCTCTCTCCTAGTTGTATGGTATTTCTCATGTTTGTTTTACATTTTAACCAGATTGTGTCATACTGTACTTATTACCTTGCAGAGTAAAGCCTGTCTTATACCTGTTCCCAAGGCACATGACATACATAACTACTTCATTTCGTAAACATCTTCTTTCTGTTGCTGTGAATATGAGACAGGGTTGGGAAGTGGTACCTGTGGAACATAGGTCATCAGTGTAATTTGCACGGTCACACACGTTAGCCTCTGGGAATATATATTGATGTTGTCAGTGCCCAGCAATTCTGTGACTGTGTCCCCTAGAGGAACCACTGCATGTTCTTATAAAACACAGAACCCAAGATAAGAATCATCATGTAAAATAGTAAGCTAGCACAGTTAAAAAAGAATGGATCAGATCTGTGTAATTGAGAGAATTCTTGGACACTGGTGAAAAATCAAGTTCCTGAATGATGGTATGGTAATTATAAAAATGAACTAAACTTAAAACAGTAAATATTCTTGGCTACAAATGTGGCACACACTTGTTTTATTCACACAGCAGAAATCCCAGAACATGAACTGGGTTTATATTTAAGAATTGCATTTGGACAAAGAGGAAAAGGAAAGAGCTTTTTTCTCTTGTATTATGAAACATAGCTTTAAATGTAAATGTGGATAAAAGTAATTCTAGTTGAGTCATTGGATTTTGTGTGTACACAGTGATCTCAATTTCCAATGATGACATTTTTATTTTTATACAACACTATTCCTTTATTTTTATTACTTTATTTTGCTGGCTGAGAATTGCAGTAATAACATAGAATCAGAACAGTGAGAGGCAGCAACACAGATTGCAGTTCCCTGTTGCAAATTTCGTATAATAGTTAACTTACATAGTCTCTGCCAGGGTAGTCCCTTTGATTCCTAAGTCAGTTTATATCCCCTGTCTTTATAGCTTTTGAGTCTTAGTGCTTTTTTCATTGACTGCAAGGATGAAAATTTTTTTCCCCTATAACTTGTTGATGCTGTGATTTGACTAGATTGTTTAGTGTTAAAGAACATTTTGTTCTTGGACTAACGCAACTATGTATGTATTCTCTTTTTGTATTTCTGGTTTTAGTGTTGCTGCTGTTTAATATTCTTTAGAAATTTATTTTCATTTGAAAGAGAGCTACAGAGAGAGAGAGATGGACAAATCTTCCATCCACTAATTCATTCCCCAAATGCCCACAACAGCTAGGGCCTGGCCAGACTGAAGGCCAGGGACCAGGAATTCAAGCTGGATCTCCTTTGTGGATGGCATGGACTCAAGTACTTGAATCATCATCTGCTGCTTCCCAGAGTGCTTTTGCGGGAAACTGGTTCAGAAACGGAGTAGCAGGCACTCATATATGAGATGTGGCATCCCAAATAGTGATTTAACTGCTGTGCTACATGCTGGCCTGGATTGCTGATATTTAATTACACTTTTGTGTATCAGGTAGCTGTCTCATCTCTGTGTTATCTAAAGTCTTGTGCAAAATTACATTTATTCCTTCATTAAATGTTTGACTTTTCTGGTATGTGTGGGGGGATATGATTTAGCATGTCTGAGATGGATGATAAAATGTTCTATTTTTTTAAAATAAGTATTTACTCTTTTAAAAAGAAGATTTATTTATTTGAAAAGCAGAGTTACAGGGGAAGGGGAGGGGAGAGCTTCCATCCTCTGATTCACTCCCCAAATGACCCGTAACAGCCAGAGCTGGGCCAAGCTGAAGCCAGGAGCCAGAATTCCATGCAGGTCTTCCACATGGATGCAGGGGCCCAAGGACTTGGACTATCTTCCTTTACTTTTCCAGGCACATTAGCAGGGAGCTGGATCAAAATTGGAGCAGCTGGGACTTGAACCAGTGCTCACATGGGATGCTGACAGTGCAGGCAGCTGCTTAACCCATTATGCCATAATGCTGGCTCCTAAAAATTTTTATTTACTTGAAAGGAAAAGAGAGACAGACAGACACAAGAGATGAGAGAGAAACAGACATATACAAGAGGTGAAATCTTCTATCAGCTGGTTTACTCCTCAAATGCCCACAACAGCCAGAACAGAGTCAGGCCAAAGCCAGGAGTCCAGAACTGAATCTGGGTCTCCCATGTGGGTGGTAGGACCCCAAGTACATAAACAGGAAGCTGGAATTGTAAGCAGAGTTAAAACCCAGGCACATTAATATGGGGTGCAGGCTTCTGAAGCAGCATCTTTTAAGTATTGGACCAAATGCCACAATTTTTTTTTCTTGATGACACAAGTTTGGGAGCAAATATGACAGACTGTTGAGTTGCTGCATATGTGCTTTCCATAAGAATTTATAGTAGCATATAATAGTTGCTACATATTTTATCATGGTAGTTTACAAAATGTGCCTAATTCTTGGAGCATTAGCATCTTGGAATTTGCACTACTACTCATAATAAAAATTTATTTTAAAAAAGAGTAAAATTGTAGGCATTACATTTATTACTGGAGCATCATTTCATTTGTGCCTGGTTTTGGAGATATCACCAAATCAGTGCTGAAACATAGGATTTGTTATTTTATTTTAGATATGTATTTGAAGGGGATTTTATTTCAAATGTATATTTGAGATACATAGTGACACAGAGAGGGAGTAACAGGTAGAGATCTGTCCACTTGTTCATCCCCCAGATGCCTGCAACAGCCAGGCTAGGCCAGGCTGAAGCCAGAAATCTGGAACTCACTTGGTCTCCTATGTGGGTGGTAGGAACCCAAGTGTAAGGTCATTATCTCTGCCTTTTAGGCATATTAACAGGGAGCTGGATCTGAAGCAGAGTAACTAAGATTCAAACCAGTCACCGCAACACGGGATGCGGGTGCCCCTGCAGTGACTTAACCTGCTGTGCCACGATTCTTGCTCGACAGAGGATTTATTCCTCAGGATATTCTTTTGAGCCACAGCTTGCAACCCAATAGGGGGAAAAACCCAGATAGATAACAGATATGTCTGGGGACAGGCATTTATGACAATAATGAGGTTGCTGTAAAGGACACCCACATCCTGTATCTGACTGATTCAGCCACTGGCTACTCTGCTTCATATCCTGTTCCTGTTCCCATTTCTTTTTTTTTTTTTTTTTTTTTTGACAGGCAGAGTGGACAGTGAGAGAGAGAGACAGAGAGAAAGGTCTTCCTTTGCCATTGGTTCACCCTCCAATGGCCACCGCGGATCCGATGGCAGGAGCCAGGTACTTCTCCTGGTCTCCCATGGGGTGCAGGGCCCAAGGACCTGGACCATCCTCCACTGCACTCCCGGGCCACAGCAGAGAGCTGGCCTGGAAGAGGGGCAACTGGGACTAGAACCTGGTGTGCTGGCGCCGCTAGGCGGAGGATTAGCCTAGTGAGCCGCGGCGCCGGCCACATATCCTGTTAACATGTGCCATGAGAAGCGGCAGGTGGCTGAAGTAAGTACTTGGGTTTCTACCAACTATACAGGAAATTCAAATGGAGTTCCTGGCTCCTGGCTAAGCCTGACCAAGTCCTGGCTATCCTAGACATTTGGGGAATGAACCAAATGGTAGAAGATCTCTCCATCTGTCTCTGTTTTTCTGCCTTTCAAATAAAAAAAAACTTTTAAAGTTTGTTTAATTTTGCATAAGAGTGGAGCTTTTATGTAAGGTCATACAAGTTGTTTAGTTTCTTGATAAAAAGAACAGTTACATCTTACTTGACTTTGTCTATTAGACAAAGAGTAAAAGTACCTGCCCTTCTCATCACTTAAATGGAAGCTTGAAATATTTTTCTTTTAGATACACAATACCTGCTGCTGAAGCAGTAGTGGAATGACCTTGAATGTTGTCCTTTGCTTCCAGGAAAGCTTTGGGAGGCATCCAGGTTACATCTGCTTTTCATCCAATCCTTCCTCTTCCCCCCATTCTCAGAATTGACAAATTTGCTGCTTTATTCAGAAATATGTTGTCTGATGTTAGAAAGACCACCTTGTTTTTCTACCATTTCTTCCCCCATTTGTATTAGTGTTTACCTCTGTTTTACTCTCACTTGCTACATTGCATGGTATGCAGTAAAGGCAAGGGTACTTGTGTAAGTTTATGGAAAATGGAATTAAAAGATACGTTTATTTGCTGCCAAAATATTTTCAAATTCATGCATACAAAGGGGCTTCAGAAAGTTCATGAAAAATGTCTTATTATGGAAAAAGTGCATGGATTTCAAAGTTTTTTTTTGCACCAAAATTAATGTTTCATTTTCCCACAAACTTTTTGAGGTGTCCTCATATGTGTTGAATGAACGAAGTTAAGGTCTGAGTTACAGGAGGATACACCTAATTAACTGCTTGCACTATTTTTTTTTAAAGATTTATTTATTTATTGTTTGGAAAGCAGAAAGAGGGGGGAAGAGAGTTAGAGTCTTCCAATTACTGCTTCACTACCCAAATGCCCACAACAGCTAGGGCTGGGCCAGAAGCTGGAACACCATCCAGATCTCCCACATGGGTGGTAGAAACCAAGCACCTGGGCCATTTTCTGCTGCATTATCAGAAGCTGGATTGGAAGCAGAGGTGGAACTTGATCCTAGGCATGCTAATAGGGGATGCAGGCTTCCCAAGCAGCAACTTAACAGCACTACAACACATACCCCAAGTGCTTGTACGCTTACTTAGCTATTGAGAGTTTTAACTATTCTTTCTAGCATTAAAGATTGCTGTGACAACACATGGAGAAGCACTTTAGAAAACAGCAGCGTCGTGCAGTTGTAATTTGTTTATGATATGTGTGAGAGATGCAGGATTTCATTGTGCTGTATGCTGTATAGGCAGTGCAGAATGCTGCCAAGGAAGTGAGTGTGCCCTTCCTAGAATGCCCTCAGAGACATGACCTGTTGCAGCTTGGCATTTTCTCAGTGCTTTTGTCCTATAATTTAATACAAATGCACTAGATAGCTAATAGTGTACCTGGGCTCTCTGTCCTTACACACTTAGCCACAGGCCTGAATGAGCTACTTTGTTGCTGTGCAAGTTTCACAAGCTAAGTTAGAAATTGAATGGATATTTTATACTGTAGGATGGCTGTTTAGGTCTGATGAGTTTATAACTAAAATGCCAAACATGTTTGTCTTTGTCCTTTTTTTCTTTTTTTAAAGGCTTATTTATTTATTTGAAAGGCAGAGTTACAAAGAGAAAATGAAATCTTCTTTCGCTGGTTCACTCCCCAAATGGCCACAGCAGCCGGAACTGGGCTGATCCGAAACCAGGAGCTTCTTCTGGGTCTCCCACATGGGTACAGGGGCCCAAGCATTTGGGCCATCTGCTGCTGCTTTCCCAGGCACATTAGCAGGGAGCTGGATTGGAAGCAGAGCAGCCAGGACTCAAACCAGCACCTGTGGGATGCGTGCACGGCAGTGGGCAGCTTTACCTGCTATGCCACAGTGCTAACCCCATGTCCTTTTTCTTTTAAGGTTTGTTTATTTGAACGGCAGAGAGAGATCTCCATCTGCTGGGTCGTTCCCATAATGCTGGCAGTGGAAGCAAGGAGGGTTCATGAACTCTGCCTATGTCTCCCTTGTGGGTGGCAACGACCCAACTACTTGAGCCATCTGCCCCCTCCCAGGGCACTTATTAGTAGGAAGTGGATCAAAAATGGAAGAGGCAGGACTGGAACCAGTCCCTTGAATAGTGATGTGGACATCCCAAGGGGCATCTTACTACCTGACCCAAATGCCTGCCCCTCATTTTTATGATATGTTGTTAAATTTGATATGTTTTCTCTACCTCACTGAAGTGTCTCCCTACTGTGTGATAGCATTTCACGTGCTAGAGAACTATCTTTCTTTCTTTCTTTCTTTTTTTTTTTTTAAAGATTTATTTATTTGAAAGAGTTACACAGAGAGGAGAGGCAGAGAGAGAGAGAGGTCTTCCATCTAATGGTTCACTCACCAATTGGCTGCAGAGGCCGGAGTTGCACCGATCCAAAGCCAGGAGCCAGGAGCTTCCTCCAGGTTTCCCAAGTGGGTGCAGGGGCCCAAGGACTTGGGCCAACTTCCACTGCTTTTCCAGGCCATAGCAGAGAGCTGGATGGGAAGTGGAGCAGCCGGGTCTCAAACTGGTGTCCATATGGGAAGCTGGCGCTTCAGGCGTTAACCTGCTGCGCCACAGCGCTGGCCCCAGTGCCTGCCTACTATCTGCTACTACACTGCTACTATCTGCTGGTTTTCTTTCTACCTTTTTGATTTTTCCATCTAGACTGAGTTTTTTTTTTTTTTTTTTTTTTTTTTTTTTTGTACCAGTTTTTCATCTTCTGGCCACCCCTTAAATGTTAGTTTTGTCTTGAATTCTAGTGTATGGGTTTTTTTTTTTCAGTATATTTTTTTTAACTTTTATTTAATGAATATAAATTTCCAAAGTACGATTTATGGATTACAGTGGCTTCCCCCCCATACCGTCCCTCCCACCCACAACCCTCCCCTTT